GTAGGACTATGGACAAAACTCATGCTTGCACACATTTCTTCTTCCCTTCTTTCCAGATGAAGGCAGCTTATTAATAAATGTAGATCTCATGTGTCAGTTTAGTGGTATATCCCAACTTGAAAAGAAAACAATTGCATCATTTCTCTTTCTGCACATTGAAGTCCATTGACTTCCACCCTTTCAGCACAAAGATTGTGGAGTTGATGTTTCTCCATTAAGTAATTTTTACTAGTCCTGTACTGTTTACTTGAGATTTTTTTTTTCTTCTCATCTGTATGTGCCAAAAAAATGTAACTGATTAAACAAAGGAAAATAAAGAACATTTTTCACTGGATAGAGAGAGGGCAATAGAACTTTGTCTAATCCTTGGCTTCTGTCTAGGCTGTAATAAATACAACTGAGTTTCTTCTTCAAAAATGGTACCAAAAAGTAGTATTAATTTTACTTTTTGTTGCTGAATATTTTACCCTCTGCATAGCCTTTTAAAAAAATTTCCTGCTCTTGAAATATTCCCAGTGTACGTTATTCTCCGTTCTTATTGGTTTTACGACAGTGAAACTTCAGTGGAATTAGGTGAGCAGAATCAGGCTCTTAATCTCATTTCTACACTGTTCTGTTGCCCTTATTTTGTCACTAAACATGATGACCATTAGACAAGGGAATGGGCTTCCAAGGGAAATGGTGGAGGATTAAGATAATTTAATAACCTGAATAATTTATAACTGAACCAAACACACATGGGTCACAATATTGCATAGGCGAGGAGATTGGCACGTTTGCCTAACTGGTCTCTTTAGTTTCTAGGAATCTCTGTTGATATATTTCCTGGTGTATTCAAACACACACTACTGAAATGTTTAGCCTTTCCCCTTACCATGTTTGTAAAATCCTGGGTAATTCTTGGATATGCTATAATAATTTAAAGCATTCACTTACGATGTGCCTCAACACTGTGCCTGATCTACACTTTGTGTACTCATTTTACTCTGTTTCAGTAACACCCTTTTAAAAGAACACAACTCTGCATGTGTTCCAAACTCAGCTTTACATCTGTGTGGATTTCTGTTACTGACATTTCATCCACATGCTTCCTTCACATTAGCAAAATACAAAAGAATCTATTGTCTAAAGACTTTGTAGACTTCATGTGCGCTAATAAAGATTCCGATAAATTGGAAAACGTAATCCAATGTTCCGTTTTCAAGATTTGGGAATCTGATATGCATTAACCTGCTTCCTAAACATACTTGTTATGGGTTTCCTTTCATAACTGCTTCATATCAATAGTCCACAAAAATAATTCCCTGTGTTGTGTGGGACTGTGATGGAAGATGAGTTTTGGATCAAGGTGTATGTAGGAAGAGGAGAATCCTCAGATTTATATAATACTTTACCATACTCTTGTCCTTGAATTTGAGGAATGGCAGTTGAAGTACACCCTTTAAATATTTACAAAACAGTTGCTGAATAAATCTCTCAGTAAAACATGGTTGAAACTCTATAGTGCTAATCTTCCCATTCACATCAATAAGAAGTGTGGTATGTTGACCATCTGTTACGTGAACCCGAATAGGATCTGAAATACCTACACCAAAGACCTGATCTTTTTATGCCATTGCTTTTATGTAGGTGTGTCATAAAAGCATCCAGGTGTCAGCAACCTGTGCAACTGGTCCTGTTAAATCTGCGTAGAGGTGATGACATTTCAAGTGCCTCAAGATCTCTTACAATTAAAACAGCTAATTGCATTACGGTCTGTAGTTGAAAATATCTTGCTCTTGCATAGGGTTTTTTCCTCTGCAATAATCCTAATGGGATCCACAGCTGTTAGGGCTACCATATGTACAACAAAGAACTGCATCAGGATTAGCAAGCCAACTGGAAGAAACACCAAGCCCCTCAAAGGAATGGGGCTCAGAGGGCTTTCAGCTTGGTGAGGAAAATGAGCTAAATAAAGTCTAAATGAACTCTGAGGTCCTTCTAGCTTACAAAACAACGAATGAATAAATAAATAAATGCCTTTATATAATTCCAGGGAACTGAAATACACAATAAAATCAAGCTGTTTGTGACTCTTCTACCTAGTAACCTCGTCTGCATAGCAGATGAGATGCTCTGTGGGGATTGTGACTATAGATGTGTACATACAATTCCTGAACTTTATTAATATTATTTTTTAGATCTGTTTAATACAATTGGAGGGCTTTCTTAAATGTGATGTAGAGGGCATTCCTTCATGGTTTCTGTGGTCTGGCAGTCTTCAAAATAATTCATTAACACTCCCTTCATTTTACACTCTAGTCCATACCCACTTGTTTTATGTGCACAACTCTCACTGCTGTCAGTGGGTGCTTTGTGTGCAGACCTATGGTAGAGTACATAGCAGTAATGCATCATTTTGGTGCCCAGGTTTTATTTATTTGTGTATAATATGGAGTCTTCCTGCTCTCATGTTTTGATCTAAATATAATGTCTATAAGAGAGATGGAGGCTTTAAAAATAGTCTCATATTAAAGCTGTTTTCTGCTAAAATTTACAGAAACCAACATTCTCATCTCTGATTGACTAGAGTTAGGTTCCTAAATCCATATTTAGGCACCCAAAGATGACCCTTATTTAGCTAAGCGGTTAAGTATATGCTTAGCCTCACATATGTCAATTGGGACTATTTGTGTTTAAAGTTAAAGCATATGTTTCAGTGATTTTGTCTGATTTTTAGAACTGAGCACCTACAAATCCCAGTGGGACCTCAAAAGCTCTGAAAAATCAGGTGCTCTTGCATAAATGAGACTAAATTTACACATACAGGTTGAGAAAATTTGTCCACAAAGTAATGTCTCAACTTTAATCTCTCTCCCATTTTCACTCTAGGAGTAAGAGCAGTAGGTCAGCAGTCTGAAGAGATAATCAAAATGTTAAAGAAGATGCTGTGGTGTATAATCAGTAGTGTTAGAGGTACCATCTGCTGTAAAGATTCATCTCACCATTTAACATGCAAAAACTGTATGCAGTAACCATTTGGTAATTTGTCAAAATACTAACGCTTTCAACAGTCCTGGGCTATAACACTTCGGAGTTTTTAAAGATCATTTCATGACTGCATATACATCATATACTGAACATATTTAAATGATAGTCCCCTTAAGAAAACAGAGTGGAATGGCAGAAGCAATCATAATTTGGATATGCTGTCATAGGAGAGTTAAGAGAAGGACCAGAAAAAATAGTGAAAGCTATTCACTATATGTTCTTCCCAGTAGAAGTGTAAAACAAAATTTTTACTTTTTATCATCATTCTGTGCTATACACCTGGAATATTTCCTCCTGCCTTGAGAATTCATCGAGTTATGCTGTATGCTTATTACTTGTTATCCCTCTGCACTGTCATTTGCAAATGTTTGTGAGGTAAGTTTTCACTGTAATATCTAGCAGAGTTTAAATATAGGTAGTTAACACTTGTCCTATGCCTGCAGCAAGGGCAGTAATGCCTCAGTGAACAGTATAAAGCCACTCAGTGCACGCTTCTGTCATTAAGAGGCAGAAAATGTAGTCCAAAAGCTTATGAGTGAAGTTTTAATCCTAGTCAAAGCTCAAAGGAAGTGGTCACACCAATGAAAAGAATGAGTTTGTGATGATTAAAAGAAAAGACAAAGAAATTCTTAGGCATGGAATGTGTAAATAATGAGGTTTATTTAAAGAAAAATAGGTCAAAATGAATGGCTAAATCCACTGATCTCAATTTAGTGTGGGAGAAATTAAAATTTAGCCTGCAAATACAAATAAACTCGAGCATTCTGGCCAGATTCTAACTCTAGTAATTGCATCCTGTCTAGCTCAGTACTGCACTGAAGTTTCAACCGGATATAGCATTGTTCTTCATATCCTGCCCCAAACAGTTGCTCTGTTCTACCCTAAAGTGACTTTTATTTCTTTGGTGTATGAAATGATTCCTCTAAATAGTTTGTTTTTCCAGTTAACTTCGTAGCATTTATTCATTGACTGCTAACACTTCCACATTTCCAGACCTCCCAAGACTGTTTTCAGTATCTTCCAAATATAGAGAAAGATATGATCCAGTCCCTGCCCCTAAGAGATTACAATGTAAATTACAAACAGTACAGTCTCACTCTACATGATATGTAACTTGGAGGCAAACTACAAATAATATAGCACTTTGGAATCTTTCTGCATGAAAAGTGCTTTATAAACACAAGATAGTATTATCACATGATTTTTATAATTAAATAAAGACCTCTTTCTAACTCAAGTTACCCCATGAAAATATACAGTAATGCCCATTTGTGGCTTTAAGTTTAAAGTTCTGCCATTACATTTGTAGATTTTTTCAGTTTGCAGATGGTGTTTCTCTGGCTGGGACATTATTTAATCATTAGTAAGAGAGATGCAGCACAGAATAAGAGGTCTCTGGAAAATAAGCATATATGTGGTAATGTTGTTTTATTTTCTCCCTATATGACAAAAATATACTTGCCTGTTCTAGGACCTTTCTGGGGAGGCTTTCACCAAATGGGTCCTTGCAGAAAAGAGTGAACCTGGTTCTAACAAAATAGATATCAGTCATAATTGGCATTTTGGTGTTGGTATTAGCTGGGTTAAAAAGTCAAGACAACTAATTACTGGAAACTTCCTGCCAACAGAGAGTACCCCAATTTGGTGACTTCTCACATTTCAGCCACAAAAATGTGTACTCGATGTAGAACCTTTCTACACTTGTTTTTCAATGGAAGGTGCATAGAAGCTGAATTGCACAAAATGAAGTAGGGAAATCTCCAGTAACAAGGGGGAATAAAAAGAATTCGATGAGCAGAAAAATCTAACTTTTGATAAACATCCTGTAGGCTCTTTTCAAGGGGTGAATGGATGTTTTCCATGGGAAATCCTAAACTCCCTTTTGGGACTTCTGTCCAGTAATGACGTGTGGAGACACAAGTGCAGTTTAACAATCATTTCTGTCTTCCTTTGTCTTTCTCCATTTCCAGAGCTCCCAACACAGTGGCTCCTCTACCTCATTAGCATCCACCAAAGTTTGCAGCTCCATGGATGAAAATGATGGACCTGGAGAAGGTAAAAGAGACTGCTTTGATGATAGAAGGTTGTTGACATTTCAAAACAGTGATAGCCAGCATCTATATGGGAAACGAGTTGCTATTCATGCTGAAGAGAGTGAAGAGTTGTAGGGATGACTGAGTCCACCTTGAGAGGGTTACCAGGTTTACTGAACTGGTTGAATCATGGATTCTATGCTAGCATGATGTTTGCCCTTCATCCAGAATAGCATTATTCAAGCATTTCAGTTCCACTGTCTTCTCTGGTACTGACCCTACAGATTGCAGAACAGCTCCCAGAAGCAGTGGATTCTGGAATGTTTTGAAAGGCCACCAGTACAATATGGGACAATAATAGCAGAACTAGTTGAACAATTTCCTCATTGGTGCTAAATGGGTTCAAACAGAAATGGTTTAGACCAACCCAGTTCTGAAATGTGAAAGCTTTTTCTAGTCCACCCACATTTTAGAATGCTTGTGAATTATTTACAGCACTTTTGTGTGTGGACACAAAGTGTGAAGAAAGTCAAAGTTGATAATCACAGTGGTCCCTTCTGGGCTTAAAATCTATGAAATACTGGCCCTTTTGAAGTTAGTGAGAGTTTTGCCATTGACTTCAATAGGATCAGGATTTCACCCAAAGTGTGACAGAAGCACTGGGGATTAAACTGGTTGTAATGTAGAGAAGGCCCAACTGCCACTTTAATGGCCCATCTCTTTAAAAAAAAATCTGATTTTATAAAATTTTTAGATCATGGGATGAGGATGATGGTGGTTTATTATTACTGATTGTTGCCTGACATATTCATTTTATTTACAAGTACTCCCACTTGAGTACTTTGTGGGCTGTGTGTTTAATTGTTTTACTGTGATGTATATCTTTTAAAAAATGACAAGAGCACCCTCTAAAGCTGAAAAATAAAAGGAACCCAGGGTGATAAAATGGTGAAAAGTTAGAAGGAAAGGTAATAAATGCAGGGGAAAGTAAAATAGAGTAACTTCTAGAATAATTCTTATATTAAGGTTTTTTAAAAGGAGGAGGTGATGGAATGAGAGGGATGTAATTTTGACCAAAGTTCCAAACTCTTGGAAGTAGCACAGCAAAGGTCTAGTAACCTACCCATTTAAGAGGAGAGTTGGAACCTTTAATCCGCAGTTGTTCATATGAAACTGAACTCCCCTGATGCATGAAGATTCTGCAAGGTCATCATTCCTGCTGGGGATGTCACATATTTCCTTCCTTTCGTTTCATATATAAGGGCAATATGCTTAACATTTCACAGCCTATAAAGAGACCTGTTCCTTGTTTCAAGCAGTTTAGAATCCGGCATAGACAAAACAGTTCAGACGTACATTGGTATGTTGTATGCGGACCTGAGTTCAAGGTGGCATAGGATGAGGGTTTTGATACAATGTAAATTGATTTGACATTTAATTAGAAAATAAAAGCAACAATTAGAGGACAGTTGTATGTAAAATAATAACTCCTGTTTGATACCCCTTCAATCTATAAAATTACTTTGCACAGACAGTATCTCAAATACCCTGTCCTAGCCTTTCTTTGATAAAAAGTGTAGCGTATGACCAGGATCTTTACCAAAACGAACATAGTGTGCCTGAAGTAAATTAATCTGAATAGCTGAACAGCACCGTGCACTGGAGTGTTCCATTCACGTGTAACTACTTTTTTAGGAAGCATGCATAATCACATTGGGCTTTCATAGAAAAATGACAGCTCCAGCGAGATGAATATCCTCGCAGCATGCCAGTGATTAAGATGTGGCGACTCAGGGTAGCCTATACTCTGGGGCTATCGTTCCAACAGAGAGACACACGTATCCCTGTACCATTTGTGATTTAAGGTGAAAAACACAAAAGTCACAGCATTTCAATCTTAACACCACGTTGGAAAACATGTGGGTTTTTTGCCAAATAGTCTCTCACACTTTGTATTCTGTTGTGTGAAATCTAATTAATGTTTACTGCCTTAAAGCGTGTAAATTTAAGAGTCACTGTTTTAAAAGGCTTTTTAGGTATTAGTATATACCCGGTATATTTATATGGTCCAAAGGTGGTTGGTTTAGATTAAAGTCCATAGTCCCCGCTTTTGGAAGCATTAGTAGGCATTGGTAAACTGCTGTTTCAAATGTATTTCAAGAATAAAGGTGCATTAATAGGCACTAAAGTAACAGGAACTACAAAACTTTTCTGTGTGTAGACACCGTGTGTAACACAATTTTATCTAAACATCTGGTGCCCAGGTTGCGTGTGAAGGTGATATAATTGAGAACATTTGTTTAAAAACTAAATATTTAATATTGAGGGGAAAATAGCACTTAACACATGGGGAATTTTATGGATGTCTCCTTTTACAGGATGTAATAAAATAAGTGCTTGAGTGTTAGATTTTTGGTACGTATATTTAATCATACTATGTCAAGCAGCTCTAACCCTTATCAAAGGGCTCAACTACGTTTGTGGAGACCACAAAGGCCCTTTCATATTTAAAAAATACAATTTCAGTTTTACAGTGTGAATATGTTGCAATAGGTACTGTAAGTTGTGTAAACCTTGAATGTCTGAGTCTACAGCCCATAGGTTTTATTTTTCATCATTTGATCTGTGTGAAACCTATTGAGTATATTCAATGTCATCAGCATGGTTTTGCTATACACTAAATGAGATATTGATTCTGAATGGTTTCCATTGGACCTAAAGTGCATGTTATGTGCAACATCTGCATTTCCTTCTCTACCAATAAAAATGCACTAATGATTTTTTCAGAAGTGTTGGAGGAAGGCTTCCAGGTTCCAGCATCAATAGCAGAAAGATATAAAGTTGGAAGGACTATAGGAGATGGAAATTTTGCTATTGTAAAGGAGTGTATAGAAAGGTGAGAAGGATTATTTGCTTATTACTGTAAAAGCAATCATTAATATAATGCTTTTCCTAGATCATATCTTTATTTGCAGACTGTGGGACCTGTGGAATAAGGTAATATCTCAGTGCCAGATGGAAAAAATGGAAAAACTAGTCTAATAACCTGTGCTGTGAAAAAAGGGGCAGTTCTAAGGGACAATCTATAACTTTCATGCTTTGGGTTTTTTTTATATATCCCCTCCCCGCCCATCCCCGTGCTCAGCACAATTCTACCAGGGTTCTCAGTGTTCTAAAATAAGCTATTTGAAACTATTTTCTTGCAGTTTACTCTTCCAGCTTTCCTTTTTGACTGGTTAGAACAGACCTGAGAAGGATTCAAAGCTCTAGCATATGTGTTCATCATCTTTTTTCTGGAGAGCATTCTGTGCAAATACAGGAAAAATTAGAATGTGAAATTTGTGTGTGGGGCACTGTAAGGCACTGAAAACTAACTTTAGATCTCACTATGCCTTGAAGTCATGCTGACTGTCAGCATCACTTCCAGGTTATTCTTAATGAAACATGTGCCTCTGTGCTCTTCCTGCTTGTTTTGTATTACAATGTGGTGTCAGAGGTGGCTGGACCCAACTCCAAAGGACAAAGGGAAAGGACTAAAGGATGAGAGACTGACTGAAACTCATGTGCAACAAGAGGGGTGGGTGTGAGTTCCTCACCCCTAAACCCTGAAGTAGGCCGTGCTGCCACAGCCCCACTAAGAGGTGAGAGAGGAGAGAGAGAGGCATTGCTGAGAACCAAGAGAGTGTGGTGTAAAAGAAACACAGGGAGGAGGAGATGTCCACAACAGAAATTATTATGAAGCTTCTGATTTCTGATGATGGCAGTGCAGAGAATGGCGGAAAAAAGAGCCAGAGAAAGAGATGTCCACAATGAACAACAGAGCTGCCAATATCTGATCATGGGCGTTCGGAGAATGAGATTCCACATCCACTGCCACTACATCCTAATGAGGAGCAGTTTACGGAAGACTCCACGGTGGTTTCAGAAGCAAATTTAACATTTCGGCAAGTACAAACTTGGAAGCAAACCACAAAAACTAGATCAAGAATAGGCTGGATGCAAACTAGAGTCTCCCTGGAAAGAAATTTGTCCCAGTCTTGGATTCAGCTTGAATTGTCTCCATATACCAAACTAACAGCTATTGTGGAAGTCTGGAACCTTTCTCTCTACAGACTCAGGGTTCACATGGTACGTGGCCAAGATTATTTTGACACCTTTAGAGCTCCTTTGAGAGAGGTTATGATGTTTGATGCAAAAGATCTTTCAGATCAAACTCCAGAGTTGAAAGTGGCCTCTCATAGGAACACTGAGCTAGAAAATGTAGAAACCCAAGAAAAAGGAGAAGAGCAAAATTAAAGAGGGCACATATAAAGCCATATAGAAGAAAACAGGATAAGGTGAAAGAAAAGGGGAGGGGAAAAAGGCTCAGCTTAGAGTGCGAGAAAAGAAAAGTGCAAGTCTAAAATGAAAGAAATAGTAGATTAAAGACGCTAGTAGATTATGCAGCAGAATAATACTGGGAGATTCTGAGAGTCTTCCCTGCCTTCAGTTAAAAATGTGTACTCACGCAATTTGGGGCTTTTCAGGTGTTTCTGAAGTTGAGAAGAAATGTGTTACAAGGAAATGATAGAACTAACTGTTGGTCTCACTACACACAGAAATAGTGCTACCATTTCCCAGTTATCTTTAGTAATATGTGGCACTGTCTGTATGGAATATCCTATAAGTGACTAGGGATTTTGTGGTCTGGTTATGCAGATCATCCCAAAAAAGTGCACACCTTCCTGCAGATATTGTTTGTGTTAAAGAGAAACTATCTGAGGAATGTTTTTGAGAGTTAAACCACAAATGTATTAGAACTGTTCCTTGTATCCCTCCACCTGTAAAGCTGGCTTGGTTACCATGAGTGTGAGTTCAGGGAAACAGAAACATTAACATTAAACATTTCCGATTTATGCAGGAAATAGCCCGACTTGATTATGTAAAGAGTTGTCACTTTGGATGGGCTAGCACCAGCAGGAGAGTGAATTTGTGTGGGGGGGTGGAGGGTGAGAAAACCTGGATTTGTGCTGGAAATGGCCCACCTGATGATCACTTTAGATAAGCTATTACCAGCAGGACAGTGGGGTGGGAGGAGGTATTGTTTCATATTCTCTGTGTATATATAAAGTCTGCTGCAGTTTCCACGGTATGCATCTGATGAAGTGAGCTGTAGCTCACGAAAGCTCATGCTCAAATAAATTGGTTAGTCTCTAAGGTGCCACAAGTACTCCTTTTCTTTTTGCATAACTTTAAAGTTATCTCAGGCCCTGTAGGGCTGGGAGTGAATGCTGGGCAATGTTAGGGAGCTGAAGAAATTTCCTCTTCCCACCGGCATAAAACTCCTGTGTCTAGAACAGCCTTGGATCTCGGTTATGACTCTTTGATCTATTAAAAAAACTTGTCACTGTACTAAGACTCAATCTTCCCCTTCTTGGGCCTTGAGTAAGATTTTACATGCAGTATTTATTACGTCTCTAATTTATCACATGCATATCTCCCTCACATACATGGTGTGGGTGCAAAGGTTGGGGAGGGGGGTGTATCCATAAAAAATCATGACCGTGATCCTGCATTCCTTGCACACCCAAATGCCCACTGGATTTTGTGAAAGCTTAGTGTGTGGAAGGACTGCAGCCCGTTATTTGGTTTAGGAAAATTTAATTAACAGGTCTAACATTTTAGCCTGTGATTAGTACATAGTTGTAAACTTTTATACTGCAGTAATCTGAATTTTCTGCTTTGCACTGTACCTTTTTATTGTTCATTATAAGTGATACGTATATCGTCGCTTGCCTATCTGATTGTCTCTTTCTGGTCTGTTCTGAATGTCTGTTCTGAATGTTTACTTAATAGGTCTGTAAGACACAGAGCAAATCAATGTTGCCAACAGTCTGTGGTTACACATCTTTTTAGAGGAAAGAATAAAAAGGATATTAATTTACATGATCCTAGCTTTTTATTTTCTTTTAAAAAATATATGATGCCCCAAATCAAAGAGTCGCCAGAGTTGTCATCTGCTTGTTACATATTTGCTGTATCATGTATGCAATTTGTCCAGCAGTATGTTTTCAGACAAATTCATTTCTAATATATCAGATTTTGGAAATATCTTAATTTCCATGCTAGTTAATATTTCCAGTGTTTTGGAGCACATATAGTCTTACACAGAAAACAAAATCCATTAATATCCTTTTTTGTGACAGAAAGGAAGCTTTCCTGGGACAACTAAAGAGTCTGGTTCACTAGCTTTCAAGAAGAACATATTTTGCTGAGTTTTGGCCCCTTGCACCTGAGTTTCTGATGCTGTCCCTCCCACCTAAAAGATCGACATTGATACTGTAACTATCTGTCCCTTCTCAGGTTTGGGTGTGTCTACTCAGAATAAATGCATCCACATGAAGGCCACCTCAGGGTGAAGAATGGTCAGAGCTGTAGTTTGAAGCCCTCTAGTGGGGAAAACATAGATGTCAGGGTGCTTTATTGCTAGTTTAAATTAAGGCTTTAACAGCAATGCTGTAGTTTTGAAGAGATGATCATTCAGAATAGCTTCTTTGGAAACTCTTAATTTGTATCCTAATTTATATCTTTCTTTGGGCCCTGCCGGCTTTCGAATCTGAATGTGGTGAAGTATTTGTCACATTTTTCTTCTTTATAAACGTTCCCATTACAAAATTTGGGAAATTGGGGTATAATCTGCTGAACATGAACTCCCAGTGCAATGCTATGGCCAAAAAAGCTAATCCGATCCTGGGATGCGTAAGCGGGAATCTTGAGTAGGAGTAAAGAGGCTCTTTTACCTCTGTGTTTGGCACTGGTGTGACCATTGCTGGAACACTGTGTCCTGGTCTGGTGCCCACAATTCAGGATGGGTTGGAAGGGGGTTCAGAGAAGAGCCACAAGAATGATTAAGGATTACAAATATTTCTTATAGTGATAAACTCAAGGAGCTCCATCTATTTGTCTTAACAATGAGAGGATTAAGGAGTGACTTGATTATATAGAAGTATCTACAGGGCGAACAAAGATTTAATAATGGGGCCCAGTCTAGCAGAGAGAGACAACATGATCCAATATCTGGAATTTGAAACTAGACAAATTCAGACTGGAAATAATGCGTACATTTTTAATAGTGAGAGTAATTAATCATTGGAACAATTTACCAAGGACTGTGATGGGTTCTCCATCACTGACCATTTTAAAATCAAGATATGATGTTTTTCTAAAAACATATGCTCTAGGAATTATTTTGGAGAAGTTCTATGGCCTGTGCTATGTAGGAGGTCAGACAATGATCACAATAGTTCCTTCTGGACTTGGACTTTATGAATTTTAAATTTAATGTTCTAGTATTATGCTGTTACAGATATATATCTGCACACTTCAGTATGGTGATTAAAGTGTCTAATTTCCGTAAAATAATATTTTCAATGCATGACTCATTAATGTCTCCCATTTACCAGGCTGTGGACCCTTTTTTGGTGTTAGATAGCACATACATATGGCATTTCAATTTAACTATATTTCATTTGATGAAGAATAGAACAATTGCCATGTGAATTTCTGGTGCTGATTTTTCCTTTTTTTTTAGACCACTGGTATTCTAAAGTAATTGCCCAAAGGCTGTGCAGTAGCACCATTGTAAACTGGATTACTTTGGATCTTGTTGTAAAATAAAGATACTTTTTATCAGAGTTGCTCACTGAATTACTCATTCTCCATTTCACTCAAGGGTAATTGAAGCTATGTGAATGGAGTTCCATGTTCTGTCCTTTCAGCCATCTGTATCAGAGTTGTAAATGGCATAAGAAAAGGATGTTAGTGTCTTTAGTTTGTCGAATAAACCTGATCTTTCCATATCACTAATTTGAAATAAGTGTCCATAGTATCAGCCGTAGTAGATATTGTTCTGTGCTAGGTGCTATCCAAACATCCCAAAAAAGTCAGAGTTCCTGCCCCAAAGAAGTTGAGTCGTAAAATCCTATCAGGTATGTGCTCTTGTTGCAATAATTCTCTTGGTCTATTGCTATCAATACAAAGAAATGTTAACATTTGTATCCCCAGAGCCATTGTTGTTCCAGATTTTGTCCTGTTAAAATCAGCGACCTTAAACTCGGCAGGTCTACCGTGTGTTACCACATCCTTTAAAAAAATATTCAGATGATATCCTTTTTCATCTCAGCAGTTATGGATACTGTGCTTGAATGGCAAACATAATATCCATTGGGAAACTTTCATTGCAATTGAATGTTTATTTTTTCTTTCATCTTTTCTCAGGTCAACTGGTAGAGAATATGCTCTGAAAATCATAAAGAAAAGTAAATGTAGAGGAAAAGTAAGTATGAGAGCTCAAATAAGGACTATAAATGTTTCCAACAAAACATTTTTCTGTGAGATTGACATCCTGTTTTGACAGCTAAGATCAGTTTGGGAAGTTGTTGGTGTTCGAATTCTTCCTGGCCAATGGCAGAATTTTCACAGTTAAGGGCATTTGCCTTTGGAATTTTCTGCCCTTGGCAGGCCATCAGAGCACAAGTCTAGCAGCCTGCAGAATACAATGCAAAATATATTTACTTGGTTCAGTATTTGGCTAACTGTGTGTGTTTTTGCTTTAACTACTGTCATTAAAGCATTTAGCTGCCAGAGTGCTAAATGCTATAAAAAGAGTAAAATAGAAGTAATAATCATATATAGTAAATACTATACTAACTGAATTGCTGCTGGTTTTTATAGTTCTTTACCAAGTGCTTTCTGGGAATATAGAACCATATTTATAACTGCTCAAAAATATGTTTTGTATTAGAAAATTTTCTAAGAAGTTTCAGTGACTTTTCTTTTCCCACATTTCATTTTCTGTGGTCTCATCTCTGACCTTGACTCAATCACAACAATGATGCTGTTTCCAGACGTTTTCTACATTGCCTAAAAAACAATGTTTGTGACTTTCATGGATTCTTTGGAAGATTTGAAAGTCCCAAGAGCCTCTGAACTCTCCCTCATGCATTTGGGGGGGTAGAGAAGGTAGCGTTTTTTCACCTATATGTATTCATTTTAGATTTTTGTTCTGTGGCAGGAGCACATGATCCAGAATGAGGTATCTATTTTAAGAAGGGTCAAACATCCCAATATTGTTCTTCTGATTGAGGAGATGGACATGCCAACTGAGTTGTACCTTGTCATGGAGCTTGTAAAGGTGCGTATTGTGGAGGAGCTCACGCACATACCTGAACCCAATTCAAGACTTTATCAGCACCTTCAGACATTTTGCTTAAGCAGCTGTAACCATAGTACATTATAAAACTCACTAAAATGCCCGTTGCTTTTATCCTAAAGACTTACAATAACATATGACAAGAGATGTGTGTTCCATACTCTTGCTGTTTGGGGACTCTCAAGCATGTTCATATTGTGGACCACATCCTAATAGTGTGTATTTTGTGGACACCTCACCTTCCATTTGTGATCACCTGGACCACTTTTCCTCACATGTGGCATCACACAACATTCCTGTGGTAACTGCAGCACTGCCTTACATGACAAACCGATATAAGAAAACAATTGAATTTTTAGCTCGTTTTAACACAATTTAGCTGCTAGCTCTGCTCATTTTCAGCTCTATGTGACCTGATAGTTTTTTGCAGAGCATGCCAGCAAGTGCTCAGTGGTCAGTATTTTGGGGGCCCATGATCCTGTTCACATGTTTCAAAAAGAATTTGGCCCCAGATTACACCAAGAGGCAAAACAAAAACACCCAATTAGAGCATTTGTATAAACATCATTATATTTTGATGAAACAAAGTAATATGGCCTTACATTTAAAATACATTACCTGTGTCATCTGTATCCATTGAGTTTAGTGTCCCTTCATTAAGTCTTCTCTTTTAGTTTAATTGAAATTGAGATTGAAAAAACCCATTGTTGTTTAAAGTGTTGTTCTATCCTGAAAAAAATAACTGATTTATTGCCTTGTAGTGACTTCCAAATTGAATGTGTTCACTTTACAAGAGCAGATTTTCTTCCCCCAATTGCCAGAACTGCAAACTCAGCATGGAATATACAAGTCAAGCCAGGTTCTTTCTGGCCCATGTATCATTGGCAATAAGGGGGTCTGCAATCAGAATTTAGCTAACAGTTCTGTTAATAGAACAGGAGTACTTGTGGCACCTTAAAGACTAACAAATTTATTTGAGCATAAGCTTTTGTGGGCTACAGCCCACTTCATCGGATGCATGCAGTGGAAAATACAGTAGGACGATTTTATTTATTTATAAATAAATTTATTTTCCACTGCATGCATCTGATGAAGTGAGCTGTAGCCCACGAAAGCTTATGCTCAAATAAATTTGTTAGTCTCTAAGGTGCCACAAGTACTCCTGTTCTTTTTGCGGATACAGACTAACATGGCTGCTACTCTGAGTTCTGTTAATGATACACATGTCAGAGTACAACCCAGCTCACTGCGAGTGAAAGTAATCAAAATGTATTTGTCAGTAAAATCAGAGAATTCTGAAGAAACGCAGGGCACAAAGGTCTTGAGTAAGAAAATGCTATTTTTCCATAGTGTTTTTACAGAATAGACCGCACTTCAAGTTCACTTATAAAAACAATGGTTCTCCACTTATTTAATTCTGCAGAATACTTTATAAGAGAGACCAACTCTCTCATTAACCACTTCCATTCTCAATATCCCATTCCCGCCATCACTCCGGCAACACTCTTTGTTTTGGTGGCCTTGCATACCATGGTTTGAAGTCCACTGATTTAAATGTTTAGGATTTGCAAACATAGGTACTTAATTTGTGCCAGCAGTGCTTGTACACACACCTATTGAATGCAAAAACTTCACCCTGGTGTGCAAAACTGGCCTTTAAGCTCTTAAAAGTTCTACCCTATGGAAAGAATACCACTGCCTTCCAACCACACCAGAACTGGAAGACCATGCTCTTCCCTCATCTCCATGCATTAAATAGGGCCCTGCATCTCCTGCTTGCAAGGACTGGCCTGTCCATTATACCACAAACATGTAATAGATGGGAAGTTGAATTGCCGCTCAGTGATTCATCCACAAACAGAAACAAGATCCCTTCAACCACTGCCCAAGTTGTGCCCATCCCCTCACCTAATCTTTGGAGGCATAGTAAACCCTGCCACCTCTTAGTTCCCCTTGTCTGCCATCTTTTTGGTTTTATAGCCATTCTTTGGTCCCCCATCAGGTGGCTGGGCTTCTGGGGCTCAATGAGAGAGACCTAGGCAGCCATATAGTAAAACAATCAGAGAGGTACTATCTGATAGGTCTGCTCAAGTTCCAAACTCTGGGCCATTTTAGGTCTAAGTGACTACCCACCGCCACTCAGTTTCCTATGACAGACCCTCCATCTCTCTCCTCCCCCCAGAAGGTCTACTAGCAAGTGTGAGATGTGCCCTGACTGCAGCGCCCCGGACCTTAGGGGTGAGCAATCACTTAAAACACAGGCAAGTTTTGCAGGAGTAACTTACTTAGCCACCCATGTTTGAAAATTTGTCATGCAATTGGGTTTTGTGTTTGGGTTTAAGTTATAATCCAGTTTTCACTCAGCTAAACAAGAGAAGTACTGAAAGTACTCACAAAAGGTTATAAAGAGAAAAGCTATTCTTAATGATTTCATGAGAAAATCAGTTTTCTACTACTTTTCCTACTCTCTTCCTCCTCAACATACCAACACACCCTTGCATGCTCTTTCTCTCTCTTTTTTACTTAAGAATTTCTGCAGATTCCATGAAGTTTAATCTGATGGTTTGCTTTTTCTTAGTTATGATAATATTCATGCTTTAGGAGATTTTTCATAGACATAAATTAATCTGAATTTCTATGAGCACATGGATTAAATGGGTTTTTTACCTATATATGGGGAGGGGGAATAAGGGGAGAATGGTCCTAATCAGATGTTAATATTGTTTCTCTGAATATCTATTCTATTTGTTAATATTTAATTGAAAAAACCTTGTTATACCGTGCTCTGCAGGCACCAAGGAAAGTATTTCTGGAAAGATATTAATTGTTAATTCAACAATTGCTGACTGTTTCCCTTGCACAGCACATGCTGTTGGAATTGATTAACCATCTGTTATTGACTGACTTTTGAAGACCTGAGTTTAAATCAAATTCACACACAGGAAAGAAATTCAAGAAGAAAAGGCTTGTTGTAGAGCACAGTTGCAGTTAATATCACCCTGCATTAATTGACAGTAACATGTTTGACAAAAGTGGCTGCTGCAAATACTGCCTTCATTTCATGGTAGGCATATCGTTCCCTGCTTTTTTTAAAGTGCTCTAATTGTAAGAAAAAGCACTTCATAAATACAAATATAAACATATTGCAAGCAGTGCTTGTAAAACAACTGCAGGACCTGGTCTCTGGCACTTTGCCTTTCTGCACAACAAAACAAAATTATTATTCAAACTGAACAGGGGTTTAGTCAACTTAACAAGCAAGATTTACTATTGAGTTTCCTTTACTGCTCAGGGATACGATTTCACTTTCACAGCAGAAAAGAGATTATATCATTTACATAACAAGGTAATAAAAAATTGGTTACTGTATTTTACAAACTTACTGCCTTATGTGCAGATGATAAAAATTACATTCTGATGTCTGACTTAATTCCAGAAAAATCGGAGAATCAAGAGATAAGGGTTGAAATTGCATCCTTACATGCCCCCGCCTCATCCCCCACCCCACCCCCATGCGCCCAATATGCCTACGTAATGGATGGTTGCCCTGATGTATGAATAAGCTAGGCAGAGCTTGGCAAGTTATAAAACACTAGTGCTTCAGAGATAACTTAGAAAAAATATTTTTCAACCACATTAACACTTTAAGTGCCGTCCAGCACCTCTCTCTCCTCTTTTAACTTCAGAAACACTTATCAATATAATAAAACTCAGTGTAGTCTAATTATACCCCCTTTTTTTTTTAACTGAGGACAAGGTAGACTGCCTGACTGCCAACAAAATTATTCTGCTTTATATTAGTTGTCTCTATATTAATGTACTGTGTGTGCTTCCTTTTTCTTTTCTTTTTCTTTTCCTTTCTTGAGTTTAGGCTTCCTTCTTTTCTTTTCTTTTCTTTTCTTTTCTTTTCTTTTCTTTTCTTTAACTTTAGGTTTGGTCTTTCCCTTTTTCTTTTTGCTTTTAGACTCATCTTTCTTTTACTTTCCTTACATCTGAGGCTTGACCTTTCCCCCTCCTCTTTGGACCAGATACTTGACTGATGTTACAGCTGAGGTTTAGGAACATAGGAATATTAAAACATAAGGATTGCCATGCTGAGGTTCATCAGAGGTTCATCTCGTCCAGTATTCTGTGTCTGACCATTGCTAGCACCAGATGCTTCACAGAAAGGTATAAGAACCCCACAATAGGTAGGTTTCAGAGTAACAGCCGTGTTAGTCTGTATTCACAAAAAGAAAAGGAGTACTTGTGGCATCTTAGAGACTAACCAATTTATTTGAGCATAAGCTTTCGTGAGCTACAGCTCACTTCATCGGATGCATACTGTGGAAAGTGTAGAAGATCTTTTTATATACACACAAAGCAATAGGTAGATGTGAGATAATTTGCCCTCTACATTAGGTCTCATCCTGATCTCTAATAGTTAGAGATTTGCTTAAGCCGTGACACTTGCGGATTAATATCTCTTCTAAAATTTTGAAGAAACCAGTCCTTTCCCTTAATCTTCTCTTTTGAGCTTAATCTTGGCCCCTTTCTCCTCCATCTTCTACTTTATTCTGTTTGAATTTTTTCCCCTGGTTTTCCAAGTTCTCTAACTCTCAATTCCTCTGAGTGGTTGATTCAAAGAGTCTTGATGGATGTAATCAGATAGTACAGAGGAAGGTCTGTATGGTCCAGATTTGTCAATGACTGTCTTCAAACACTCTAGTGACCTGGACTTTTAAAACCCAAAGTGGGAATAAATCTGTGCTGGACAACTCTAATTTGCATTCTGGAATGAGCTAATTTTGCTTTCATTTACAAGTCCTCTTATCTTTGCAGCTTGCAGATTTCTTAATTGTGCTGCTGAATCCTCTGCTGAGCTATTATAATTTTCAGCAAGATGCTTTTTAACTGGACTGGTGGCAAAGGTGCTGAAACTTTGTCTTCATCTTGCCCACAATCAGACACTAGCTGTATAGCCATGTTCATTGTCAATCTCACCTCTTTCTCTTGTTCTTTTCTTTTGTGCAACAACTACCCCTAGTTTGGAGGTCTTCACAGTGCTGGATAGTGTACCCTTCTCAGATTTTTATGGCCTTCAGCTTCTTATGTGAGGTTCATTTTCAAGAAATGAGGGGGCATCCTATACCCACCTGTCTCCCAGTTCTTTTTTCAGAATTGCTCAAGTTTTCTGCTTTTGTTTCTTTGTGAGCTTTTCGTTGAACCTCATTTTATTACAGTTTGCATCCTTCTGTTTCCCTGTCTTGCTCTGTGGTAGTTACTCAGATTTCCTAATATAATATGTGTCACATAGATTTTTCAATGTTTCATATACCATTCTTTTTATCTTGACCTAGGTCCAATATGTCCTATGCCTCTTCCCCCATATTGTATATAAAAGAGATATACTTGGTATTTATTGGTGTAATTGACAAGTCCTGATGCAACATGAAACTGCTCAACACAGTTTATGCATTTTGGCTACGCTGATTATAATCAGTGAAATTAAAGCTTTCTATAGGAATTATACTAGTGTCAAACACTATAGTACAAGACTGTTGAGTTGGATGCCAATGACCATCAGATTGGCTAAACAATCATGAGGGGTTTTATTTTATTTTTTTCAAATATTTATCTTTATTTTTCTCCTACTTTTTGAGCCTCTAGCAGCCATGTTTTCTAGCTTTTCTCTGTAACCACAAAGGCCAGAAACTGACTTTTTTATTTTCCCCAATGAAAACTGAGATTTGCATGATTCCGGCCCTGGGGCTTAAGGAAAAATACCTAATAGAATGAAACATAGGATAAAATCATGAGAGTTGACAGTGCTTGGAGTATGGGAAATATTTTCTCCATTGCCCTGGGAAAATAACTTCTGTTCCTTTAAGAACACTCTGCTTTTACTTATTTTTTCTCCTTTCTGTTGCTGGTGTCCCTGCTAGGCAGCTTGATTTTTCTCACTGTTTTTGCAGACATGGTCCTCTCTTTTTCTGTTTCTGTGGGATCTAGGCTTTCTTGATGGACCTGCTCTGCTTTTGGCCTGTGGGCCAATTCTTCTGCAAAGTAACCTTTTATTATTTCTCACCCTGCCTGCTTTTTCCTTACACTCTTTATTGAACTGGGGGTTCTCCTGCCCTCTTGGCCATTCTCAATCACTGTAATATTTTTTCTCTCTTATAGCTCACTGCTGATAATAGAGCCTGATATAGTGGCTGCCTGAGAGTTTGAGAATGGAGAAAATAAACACTCTCCTCACTTCAGAAGAGTTTCACTTACTTTCTCTTCTTTCATTCCTTTCCTTTTGTTTTCCCCTCCCTGGAGGTGGCATCCAGCCAGCTCTGGCACCATGTCATGTTATGGTGTAGGAAGGAACACAGAGAGAGGCATGGGTGATTGCAACAGAGTTAAATACTTTTAGTGATAACTGGGAAGTGACATAGATTGTCTCCAGTGCAGTAAGACAACAATGTTAACTCATCAGATGCCTTCCAGCATAATAGTGTATCATATTTTCTGCTGGGGTTATCATATTTTCTGCTGGGGGACCCCAGTATTAACATCAGGAAGTAGAAAACCTAGAATACTTGACACATTCTATAAGGGAGAGAGGTCTCTGGAGTTAATGTTTTCAAAGATTTCTGAGAGGTGGAAACAGATCCCTTTAATGCACTGATATATATGCTGGGTAGATAGATACATTATGGGAAATAATTTCATATTTAATTCTAAATATCCATATCATTTTGGATTGAACTGAGATTGTGGATATGGTTTTGAATGTAGGTTATTTGTAATTATAATAAATGGCAGAAAAGATTGGTACCCAGCACAATGGATGCAGCAGGTTTGCAACGTAGGTGCTAAGGAAACAGGTTGGCTGTGCTGGAAATGTTGCAGAAGCAGCATGCTTGGCTACAGGAGAGGAATGGGTTGCTTCGCTTCATATTTTCCTCAGTCTGCATCTTTCAGCTCCGTTAGCTGACACACTGAGCAGTGTTGACCAGCTCTGAATGGGAGGTATGCCCAGCCTTCTGTACCTGGGAGGAATGACACCACAACACAAAGTCTTTGTCGGTAGGAAGGACCTCTGTGGGGCCCTCACAAAGTGGCACAGTGCTGCTATTCACGTTCTAAGAAGATTATTAAGTGGTGCTGTCTGGGTACAACAGGAAGTTGTTAATGTGCCACGGTTGTTCTGTTCCAGGGAGGAGACCTTTTTGATGCCATTACCTCCACTAACAAATACACAGAGCGGGATGCCAGTGGGATGCTGTACAATCTGGCCAGTGCCATCAAATACCTCCATAGCTTGAACATTGTTCACAGGGATATCAAACCCGAGAATCTACTGGTAAGTGAAAGCTCTATTTACTGTATTGTTACTGCTAACTTGGGAGTGAATGAAAGTGTACCTCTGCTCTCAGTGAAATAGTCTATGCCTTTAGCCTTTTAACTTAGTTTCTCTCACATGCTAATCTTTTCATCATCAAAAGGTCTTTAAAACCAAACAGCAGTCACAAAAAATATAGACGTGTAGGCTCCTAGAAGTTAAACAGTCTATGTCTTTAGCTAGTCTTTGTCCTAGGACACTAGTGCAGGATTAGTCCATACAGTGAATTTTTGAGTGTGTTTTCAGTCCAGCTACAAATATTTCATGCAATAGGGCTTTAGGCACTTCCCTTGGAATAAATACTTTGCACCTTTACATAGTACCAAGCTACCCACCCCGCCCTACACAGGGAGATTAGTAGCAGTATTTCAATTTACAGACATACAAACAGAGATTACATGATCTGCCCAAAAACATGTAGTGTGTCAGTGGCAGATCAAGGAATAGCACCCTGAAGTCCATCTCTGACTGCTCTAACCATGAAACAGTCTAATAGATCTTTTGGTTAGAACACTTTCCTTGTTAGACAGTCTAAACCTTCCTTTTTCTAATTTAATGTCATTGGTTTTCTTCTGAGGGCCCAGTCCAACTCCCATTGAAGTCACTGAAAAAACACCCTAAACAAATCCTCTCTCTCCTTGGGGGTCTACATATTTCTTGACAGTTATTGTGTCCACTGTCGTCTTTAGTTCAGTCTTTGCCAGCAAATTAATGTCTCCAGTCCCTTAATAATTTTTGTGTTTGTTCTCTGAATTTATTCTAACTTGCTGAGAATTTTCAGTATCAAGGCGCCCATAACTCTCTGTGTTTTAAAGCAATAACATAATTTAGATTGTAAAGAATGTAAGTTCTCAGCTGTGCACTGTCTGCCATCATCTTCTGTGTTTAATATTGTTTGGCAATGGAAAGCTGTTACGGGAAAGTTGGTTCAAGTAAATCTTAACACACTTGCAGAGAATTGGGTTTGTACAATTCAGAACTCCAGTGACAGCTGTCTGTATAGTTCTAGCCATTCTTGGCCTAGTTTTTCATAAAATGCTAAAACCATGTAGGCCAGGGCTCTCATTAGACATGAACATGTACACCCCTATAGCAGTCTTAATGCTAGTGTTCTAGATGGCTGCATGCATAAGTTATAGCAATCAAATGTCAGGATTCATTAATGCCGTGACTTGGAATGTGCAGGAAGATTTCATGGAAAAAGACTTACCATGCTTTTGTATTCAAACTTCTTAAATTCCTAAAGTTTGACAGCAATAGCCTGAAGCATTTTTAATTTCTTTCTGCCTCCATCCTCATTATTCCCTTGTTGGTAATACCCACTGGCCTATCGTGAGTAATCATGTTGTTGTTCACTTTATTCAAATTATTCCAGAGTGTATTTTCCAGTCTAAAGAACACAAAGGTCATATGCTGCTGTTGATACTAAACAATGGCTAGAAGGCACTAAACTTTCCACAAAGACCATAACTTTCAAAACAAGCACTTGCATATTAAAACTACTTCAGCTCCACTGATTTAAAAGAAAAGAAATATAAAAGGGTATGTGGGCACTCCCATAGAACTTATCGGGTATATGGGGGAGCACAGGAAGCTCGATACTTTTGTATGATAAAATTAGGCAGCACTCATCTGATAAATATAAAGGATCTGATTCTCATTTACACTAAAGCCCCTTTACTCTGCTCTGGCAGTGTAATGGGGTATTAGTGTATATGGAAGTCAGGTCTCTAGGTTGTTGGTACATATTGACATCAAATGTGTTGTCTCAGCACTTAACTCCACATATATCACAAAACATAGAATTGTAGGGATGGAATGGATCTTGAGAGGTCATCTAGTCCAGCCCCCTGTACTGAGGCATTACCAAGTGTATCTAGACCATCCCTGTCTGATGTTTGTCCAACCTGTTCTTAAAATCCTCCAATGGTGAGGATTCCACAACTGCCCTTGGAAGCCTATTCCAAAACTTAATTATCTTATAGTTAGAAAGTTTTTCCTAATATCTAATCTAAATCTCCCTTGCTGTAGATTAAGCCCATTACTTCTTGTCTACTTTCAGTCAACATGGAGAACAATTAATCATCATCCTGTTTAAAACAGTCCTTAACATATTTGAAGACTGCTATCAGGTGCCCCCTCAGCTTTCTTTTCTCAAGATTAATTATTTTAATCTTTCCTCATAGGTCTGGTTTTCTAAACCTTTTATCATTTTTTTTTCTTTTGCTCCCTTCTGAACTCTCTCCACTTTGTTCCCATCTTTCTGAAAGTCTGGTACCTAAAACTGGACACACATCAGCTCAGGCCTCACCTGTGCCTAGTACAGCAGAAGAATTACATGTCTTATATATGACAGTCCTGTTAATGCAGCCAGAATGGTATTTGTCTTTTTCACAATGGTATCAAATGATTTGCTCATATTCAATTTGTGATCCACTATAACCCTGACATCCTTTTCAGCGGTACTACCACCTTGCCAGTTATTCCCCATTTTGTAGTGGTGCATGTAATATTTCCTTCCTAAGTGAAGTACTTTGCACTTGGCTTTGTTGAATTTCATCCTGTTGATTTCAGACCAATTCTCCAATTTGTCAAGGTCACTTTGAATCCCAATGCTGTCCTCCGAAGAGCTTGCAACCCCTCTCGTTTTGGCGTCATCCATAAATTTTATAAACATATTCTTCACTCTATTACCCAAATCACATGTTGCCTAATATCGGACCCAGGACTGACTCCTGCAGGACCCCATAAATATGCCCTCCCAGTTTGACGGCAGACCATTGATAACTACTCTGAATAGGGGTTTTCAAACCAGTTGTGCACCCATCTTATAGTAATTTCATTTAGACCACATTTCCATAGTTTGCTTATGAGACTGTCATGTGGGACTGTGTCAAAAGCCTGACTAAACATGTTTTGACATAATAGATTGCCATGACATCAAGTGATCTCGCACTGTAAGAAAGTCAGCATTTGATCCATTGACTACATTACTGCTCTAAAGTTCACCTAGAGTTTGATAGAGAGGGAGAGTGTGGTCTTTAGCACAGTGCTCAGAGCTAAGAGTTTCTAAATTCTAATCCTGTCTCTGACAGTGACTCTCTGTGGCCTTAGGAATCTCTTAACCTTTCTGCCTCAATTGCCTGATCTGTAAAATGGGATGATATTTATTTATGTCACAGATGTAAGATGAGGATTTGTTTCTTAACATTTTAAAAACACTTTGAAGTTGGTAATTTCTATACAAATGGTAAGTATTGTTATGTTTATTGTCCATTTTAGCAGAAAACTCTCCATGAGCTTTCAGTGTGCTTAAAGTCTGTAATGCTGTACCTATGCATCCACTTGCTCTGTTCTCTGGAGGAAATGCCTTCCATGTTTTAATTGGAACATTTTTCATAATTGCTGCTATTTAACACATTTATTTTGTGAAATCATGGGATGTCTTTATAGCCATATAATAAACCCTAGAGAACAACTTCTCTGGCTGTTGCCATCTGCAGTGATCACAAGAGCAGCTTAGAAAATACTGACAGTCTTTGTAGTAATAGGATACATATGGTGGCACACAATTATGTGTTTCTGCATTCAATTAGTGTTGTACAATTACCCAGTTTTATTGCTTAGTTAAAACAGTGAAAGCACTACATAGTGGGTAATTTGCACTAATCCCCATCTCTCTAATTGCCCTTCAGTGTTTAAATGCAGTAAAACATGTATAGTGTTTGTTCTGAATGAGATGAGCATTAAATTATCATTCACATTCCTTGCGCCTTGAGTGGCAATTAACATACCACTGCTTCACATTAGGAGCACTTCTATAGAGAGCGCTAAATAGAGGTATAACAGGGTGGGGAAAAACTATTCTGTTTTAGTGTTACTAGAAAATCAAGTGAAATAGTCTCTCAAGGAAGTAGTAGAAGCCTCATGCCTGGAAACAGACTGGACAAAACCCTAGAAAATATACCATACTGCACAATTCACATTGGCAGAGGAATGGATTCAATGATTTAAGAGGCCTTTTCTGTAATTAATTGCTCTGATTATATGATTCATTCACATCGCCAGTGAAATTAATCTGTAAACATGCACTAAATTAACCAAACTTGGTGAAGGCATTTACCACAATAAACGGCAATTGCATTAAGGAAGAATACTAGTTACAGTGGCTTCAGCCACAGATATCTAAACCACTTCTTTACATTTTCCACCAAGTGTCTATTTAAAGTTTCTCGTTGCTAGCCTTTAATTAAAATTGTAGTTGAAATTAGATTTATTGCTTCCATTTCAGCAAACACTTCATTTCAGGAACCAGATGTATTTAACAATCTGTGTTTTTAATAAAGCTGAAATTACATTTTTAATGGCCTTTATGCCCATCTTTTGCTGACTTAATAACAGAGAAGTGTGAACCCATTTCAGATTGTTGATCCTCTCACATAACAAGATCCAGTTTCATGAATTTATTAAAAACAATGAGAGGAACAGAGGATTTCTGTGAATGCTGAATCTCCCCTCATAACATAGAAGACATGATATAATATGTTGCATAGTCCTACAATACAGAAGAGTGACGAGGAGGTTTCTTAATCTTTCTATGCAAATAAGTTGTACAGCAAATAAGGAAAAAAATACCTTCATAGGATGGCTAGTTACGGTTGTTTCTGGTGGATCCCTAGCACACTGTTTCAGTTGATGAGGAAGGGATCTTCTAGGAAAAACTTCTGCACGAAGTGAGCAGATGACGAGTCTCTGTTAAGTGTACTGCCCATTTTTTAACGAAAATCGCAGAAGTTTCTTTTGCAGGAATTTGTAATTCAGTGATACTTTTGTTTTGGCAGTGGCTGTTCAAGATGGTGGTGTACATGAGATTACTCTTGTAGACTGAACACATTTTTTAAAATGTCGTTAGATTAAACTGCACTAAATTTCACCATAAACCAACATAAAAATTGGGAGAGAGAGCCCCAACCAACTACTGCCCTAAGGGATGATTTGCTGGCTAACATTTTATTTTGATAAATGTAATTATTTTATTTTGAATATTTGTTTTGATATTTGAATATTTGTCAGTGTTTAAGTACTGGGGAAGCAATGGAAATTTGAATTTTCCTATTGTGGCTGCTATCTTTCTGTACTGACTGCTTCTAGAATATAAAGTCTCCTCTTGCACTGATTAAAACAAAAGAAAACAAAAAAATTACAAGTAGCATTTCGCTGCTGAAGAGATGATAATGTAGGGAAGGATTTTCAAGAGCACTCAATACTGGCCTAACTCTGCTTCCATTGAAGTCAGTGAGAGTTATACCATTGACTTCAATGAAAAAAGAGTTATGCTAACACCATGCACTTTTGAAAATTCAACCTTTAGTGTTTTGCAAGCTCTCAAAAGTGAGCATAAGTGCTTAGTGATGTAACATGATAGCTGAATGTGTTGTGATCTCTCTAATGGCTTGTCCATTTGGAGAATAAAAGCCTACTACTGCTGTCAACTAATGGAGTTACTCTTTTAGCTCAGAAGTTCAAATCCCTGTACAAGCCTCTCTTTTGTGTATTAATTTTAATAAGCTACCATGGTTGTCAGACTCAGTAGGGATTTAACCCATGAACTTCAACATCAAAAGCACAGGCCTCTACTATGCTACCATACTTTAGCTTTTAACAAGAGAAAGATTTTGTGCTCTTTGATGATCGGCCACTAAAAGGGGATCCAGCATACTTAGCCAGTTATACTGGGTATGTTTTTTTTCTTAGAAGAGAGACTATATATGAATGAAACCCTCCTAATCACTGTGGATTTTTTTTAAATGGGCACTTATCTGTATTTTGGGAAGTGAAGGGGAGAATCTGAAAGCATACTCAACTGAAAGGAGTCTTTCAGGAAGTTAGCAAATTGTTCATGAGTTCATTTACATAGAACCTTGCTGATCCTGTGGATTTTATTTCTGGTTTAGGTTTATGAACACCAAGATGGAAGCAAGTCTCTGAAGCTGGGAGACTTTGGGCTGGCAACAATAGTGGATGGACCTCTTTACACAGTCTGTGGGACCCCTACATATGTAGCTCCAGAAATCATTGCAGAAGCTGGGTAAACTATTTGCAGTAAAGGTTCATTTCAGTGTGCAAGGTGGAATATGTTCTCATCAATATATCAGTTACAACTCTTTTAATTTAGGCCTTTTTCCACCTTTTATTAGGGGTTAACATGGCAGTTTTTAACTTCAAAGTAGAAAGTCCTCAAATTAGCACTGAGGCAGTAACTAACCATTTATTTTACCCCTGGAGTAAAGGTAAGAAAAAATTGCCGTCAGTGACTACTAACTGTTGTTTTCTGTGCTCTTCCTTTGTCCTGTACTGTCCTTTTCCTTAGGATCTATTGTGTAGAGCAAACATCCCCTGGGGTGAGTGACCCAAGGCACCTGTGCAGGCTTCCTGTAAGGAGAGGTCAAAAGAGTCCTACTCTCATCCAAGATACCAGTACACTTTATCGTCTGTCTTCAGACATTCTAATCCAATGTGGTTTTAAATTGTAAACTTCTGCCTTGTATCTGAAAGCAGAAATTGGTGTACAATATAGAGAAAATTCAGCTCAGACCATTTAATAAGAATTTGTGCACTGACCGTTTTCTTTCAGTTGTGTACTGTAGTTCATACAGGTGTGGTATCTCTAATCATAATACCTCTAACACTTTTAGATATGGCCTGAAGGTGGACATCTGGGCAGCTGGTGTGATTACTTATATCCTGCTGTGTGGCTTTCCTCCATTCCGTGGGTATGGGCTATCATCTTTTATCCAAATTGTAACAATGTACCTCTGTACTGTGAATGGTCCATGTTCGTGTCCTACACTAAGAGATCTTCTGGGGTGAGGGGGGGGGGTGGGAATCTTTGTTTGCAATGCTGTGTTATTTTTTTCCATGCTCTGCCTGTTAATTTATACAAACTTCATAAATCTCCATTGTGTTACTGTAAAAACTCCAGTCTCTTCTCATTTTATTTATTTCAATGTAATCTACCTTGCAAAAGAAATGCACTCATTCCAGGCTCTGGGTGCCCTTGACAACCAATTAAAATATATGATGAAATCAGCAGATTACCCCAGTTACTCACGAACACAGTAAGCAGGAAGCAGTAAAATGTAAACAAAATGTAAGCCTTCCAACAGAGATTTACACCTGTGAGCAAATTCAAAGCCTCCCCTCACAAATCTCCCCTCTCCATTAAAGCAAAGAAGAAGGGCTGGGCCTTGCCACAAAGAGGGAAGGTGGAGGGAGCTGACAGAGGTTGCCCTACAAATTGACTCTTTTTTTCCCCCCCTTCTCACTTGTGCTCCATCTCAAGTGCCCCTGCAGTTCACAATGGTGGCCGTGTGGCATGGGGAGAGGAACTGGTTCCAAAAGGCAAACTTAGTGAACTACAGTTAAAAGCATTTTACTTGCTTTTTAGAAATTTATGAAAACTACCTCAGGAAATAAATCTTATGTATTGTTTTGTGTTTGTTTGCTTTACAGATGTGGAGATGACCAGGAAGTGCTTTTTGATCAGATTTTGATGGGCCAGGTGGATTTCCCATCTCCATACTGGGATAACGTTTCTGATTCTGCAAAGGTAGATTTACAAAGTTGGTTCTCTTCCGTTTTATCCAAGGTGTTGTGTATATACGTTGTGTGTGCAAAGAGACTGTAAAACTACTGTTCTTTTGTGTCCCTATATTTGAGAAGCTTTAGGTCTAGACTTGCCTAAAGTACGTATGTGTCATCTACTACATTATTATCGGATTATTGTCTATGTCTTAGACTGTAAACTGCTCTGGGCAGCACTTTGTTTGTATTTGTGTCTTATACAGTGTTAAGTGAAGCCGAATGAATACATGATTTTTCAGTTGGGTGGCTAAATCAAAAAAATCAGAAAAAAATCTTTTTGTTTTGGGTCAACCCAAAATGGAAATGTTTTTGGGGTCAAATGAAATATTTAATTTTGTTAGCAGGTGTTTTTTACTCTTTAGTAATTAAATCTAGCTAATTTTTTAAATGAAATGTCATTTTGAAAAATATAGATTCATAGATAGATTCATAGATTCTAAGGTCAGAAGGGACCATTATGATTATCTAGTCCATCCTCCTGCACAACGCAGGCCACAGAATTTCACCCACTACTCCTGCGAAAAACCTCTCACCTATGTCTGAGCTGTTGAAGTCCTCAAATCATGGTTTAAAGACTTCAAGGAGCAGAGAATCCTCCAGCAAGTGACCCGTGCCCCATGCTACAGAGGAAGGCGAAAAACCTCCAGGGCCTCTTCTCAATCTGCCCTGGAGGAAAATTCCTTCCCAACCCCAAATATGGTGATCAGCTAAACCCTGAGCCTATGGGCAAGATTCACCAGCCAGATACCCAGGAAAGAATTTTCTGTAGTAACTCAGATCCCACCCCATCTGTGTTGAAACAAAACATTTAAAAACTTATTCAAAATGTATCCATATTAAGGGGGAGGGGCGAATCTATTTGCCAAATTCAATCTGAATTCACAGATAGTTGTGGTGAACCTGACACTGCATTTTTCAGAGAATAAACTATTTGTGTGAAAGTTTTTGCCCAGCTCTAGTTTTAAGCATCCTGTCAAACCTATTGAACAATTAAAACTTCCAGTAACTTGGATCATAAATATGCACATCTTAGATTGAAAACTCCTTGGGGGCAGTAACTCTGCTTTCTATGGGTTTGTACAGCAACAAGCACAATGGCAGCTGGATTCCAATTGGCACCTTCAGGTGTAATTGCATTATATATACTAAATAATAATAATCTGAGGAAAACATGTCTCATGATTAATGACATGAAAGGATTGTCCTGATATCTCTCTCTGTCAAAGAACCAAGCTCAACATTGCCTGTAACTCCTGAATGTTGCCAGGGTAAGAGACTCTGACTTGTTCTGTCAATCCATTACAAGCAGTTCATTTTTTTTAGTCCTCTATTTTAAAACCAACTTCCAAGTACAGTAAAAGCTGTTTTATCCAGCACTTCACCAACCGGAAAGTTCTGTAAACCGGCATTTCTGATCTTTATTGAAAGTCTGCTTTATAGTCCAGTTGGTGCAGGGCTGGCAGGAGATTGGGGTGCATGGGCTCTGGGAGGGAGTTTGGGTGTGAGAGGCAGCTTGAGGCAGCAGGTTGGGGCGCAGGAGGTGGTGCAGGGTGCCGGATCTGCGGTGCACTCACCTCGGGCAGCTCCCGCAAGTGATGATCCGTCCTGGCTGCTCCTGCATGCTGCCTCCGCCTGCAGGCGCTGCCCCCATAGCTTCCATTGGCCATGGTTCCCAGCCAATGGGAGCTGCACAACCAGCGCTCAGGGTGGGGCGGAGACAGTGACAGAACTGCCTACCTTGCCTCCACCTACAAGCAGCCGAGACAGGTCGCTGCTTGCAGGAAGCCGCCCTAGGTGAGTCTCCCCTCACCCCCCGGATCTGGCACCTCAGGTCCCTCCTGTGCTCCAACCCCCTGCCCTGAGCCCCCTCCCACATCCAAACTCCCTCCCAGAGCCCATGCCTCGCACCTCCTCCTGTGCTCTAACCCGTAGTTCAGCATCCCTTCCCACACCCAAACTCCCTCCCAGATCCCGTGCCCCGCACCCTTCCCACGTCCCAACGTCCAGTCCTGCACCCAAACTCCCTCCCTCTTAGTTAACCAGCATTTTTCACTTACCGGCACCCCCCATTCGACCAACATGCCGGATAAAACATTTTTACTGTAATAAGGAAGAGCTTGATTCTGAGATGAGATGAGAGAACTGTGGATGCACAGTACCTTTCAGGATTAGTCCCTTACACAACAGGGTTGAATTTGGCCCAAGAGTTCAAATTCTCTGGAGCAGTCTCATTGGTGCACTATAGTAAGAGGTGAGGCATTCTGAGTTACAGTAACATTGGAGTTGATTGGAGTTTCATATTTGCAGTCCATTTGAGTTGGCATGTGTATAACTAATAGATTTCACCCAAATACTTTCCTTAAGCTTGGGAACACCAACACATAATCATAGGATGAATATATGCAACACTGTCCTCTCCTTGCTCTCAATATGAGCACTAATTTATCACAAAACAATGTCAGTGTTTTCATCTGGGGTGTGAGGATTGAAAATGACATATTAAACGCTGATTCTTGATTCCTCTAAACCACTGCTTTGTACTGTTTTTGGAAATAATATGGGAGGGGATAGGGGGTGGGATTTTAGTTTCCAAGCTAGTGAAATTAACATACAGGATACAGTACTTGGAACTGAAAGAAAACATTAAGTGTTAGTAGGAGTCTTCTAATCCCTCCCTTTGTATTGTGGCAAGCTTGATTTCATCATACATAAGACATCACTCATCTGTTAAGAATCAGCTCTAGTCTTCAATATCTCTAATGACAATTCCACAGCTCCTTTGGCAAGCTTGTTCCATTACCGAACTACTCTATCTAGTTAGTTTGTTCTAATATTTTCCATTTTGATGCATAAACTCATTAGTTTCTATTCCGCTCCCATTTATTATTGAAAATAATTGATGTCTATCATTTCTGATTTCCCTTTATATTAGCATCCCATTACTGTTATCTTTTGTATAGATTGAATGTACTCACTGATGGGAAAAGAAATGCATTAAATGCTGGTAGGAAACTGAGAGGAAAATAGTAAAGAAGAATTTGAAATATTAAAATAAAGGTTTTAAGAGTTAGAAATATTTTTTTGAAAATATCCACTTTGCTATTGATATTGGGACCTGGAGAAAGCCAAATTCTAGATTAGTCTGCATCATCTTTAGAGAAAATTGGCTATTTTCTAAATGGGCAACTAACCTGATTTCATGCTCCCATCTGTTTTGTACCTTATGTGAGAAGTTCTTTCCTCTGCAAACCGCTGACTACAAAAGTAACTCAGCACTATGATCTTCTAGCTTTTCAGTTTATTATTTAGCTATTGATTTAGAAGCTAAGCTTACAGTTCAGCAGTTGACAGGTTTTTTTTAAATAACCCTAGTATATTTCCACCCTGTATAATTCTCTCACTCATTGAACACTGTACTTTACTACAATCAATTGAAGATCACTTCACTGAATTAAATCTTTTGTTTTTCTTCATAAAAATGTGCTCTAAACTGGATCTTATCTTCCATTTCACAGGAACTTATCACCATGATGCTTCAGGTAGATGTAGATCAGCGATTCTCAGCCTTGCAAGTTCTCGAACATCCATGGGTTAATGTAAGTAATTTCAGGACTGCAAATTCTTGTTTTAGTCTTGTAACCTTTTAACTGTTTGCCATCAAATACTTTAAATGCCTCTTTGGAGCCAACATTTTCTAAAAGAGACACAGGTAATGACCAACTTACTGTGTGGTTTCACTGGAAGTGAAAGTGCTTTGTTAGTATACAATTAAATATTTTTGTGCACAATGCTCTGCACTCTCTTCCCCCAGTATCTTGGGCCACATTTGCAACACACCTCCTTAACTGCACCTGCAAACGCCGTCAATTTCCCAAAGGTCAGTTTGCAGGTGCAAAAAGAAAAGGAGTACTTGTAGCGCCTTAGAGACTAACCAATTTATTTGAGCATGAGCTTTCGTGAGCTACAGCTCACTTCATCAGATGTATACCGTGGAAACTGCAGCAGACTTTATATACACACAGAGATCATGAAACATACATTTTGTGCACGTAAATCAGATTGGCTCACAAGTCTTGCCATCGCAACTAAGGGATCTTGAAATATAGTCCATGTTTTAAAGCTGGATAATTCACCATTAAGTACAAAATCTTTACAGTCAAATATTTAACTTCCAAATTTGAACTATAAACATGTTTATGTGCGGTAATATCAATTTAATCTATATTAGTGTGACATTTTCATCTTTAGATCAATGCTCATTTGTTCTGAACATATCATAAAATTGATTAACAAAGAGGTGGCATATGGATAAATCTGATATAGATTAAGAAGGCCTGGGCCTGTTTATGCTTTAATGTTGAGACAGGGACACTATTTAATATTAATTATTTAAGACTATTTAATATGTTTCAAAATATTTGGATAAAAATGTAAAGAAAAGTGGGGAGAAGAATCCAGATTCCAGTTTAAAAATGAAGATACAGAAAAGCAAAATGAGTACAAGAAAAAATATCTTAATTTGCATATTGCAAGTTCCAGTGTGGAATTCCTCCCTAGCACATTTGTGTGATTCAGTACTTCCCCTAGTATCCAAAAAGAGATCACTGACACTTAAAGGGAGTGTAGTTCCAAAAAGGAATATTTGTAATTCAAATATACAGACTAATTAAATAACAATATAAAAAAAATAAAAAAGTGTCCAAATAGTTTACACACCATTTTCAATTAAGGAATATAGTAAAGTACCTACAAAGTACATGCTCAAGTAGTTATAGTCTCCATTCTGCTGTTCAGATAGAAGCAGTTTTTAACTGTAAATACTTCTGAACTGCACAGCCCCTTTGTCATGTAAAGCTTATAGACATCCAGTGCAATATATAATGAGACAATTTAGCATTTTTGTGGTCACTTTAAGGCAGAAGATGGTGGTGGTGGTGGTATTTTCTTTCCTTCTTGAAGGATATATTCTTATCACACAATGTTTATATCTCAATTTTAAATTTTTGTTCAGAACTGAAAGATTATTTATCTCTGGATTGAGAGGGAGCTGTGGGACGAGGGATAAGGTAAAGATAGAAAGTGTGACTTACTAAGCAGAATTGCTGCCTCATGGCCAGCTTCTTCCATGGTGTAAATTGGCATAACTCCACTGAATTTAATGGAGCTCTGTTGATTTAACATCATTGGAGGATCTGGAACTTGAAAGCTTCCCCCCCCACACCCTTTTAGTTAAATTACACTCTGATGCATTTAGTAAACAGTTTCAGCAAGCTGTATGAAGTCAGAGGTATTACTTCCGTTAGTGCAGAGGTCCCCAAACTGTGGGTCATGCCCGCCGAGGGGGTGCGGAGGAATGTTCCGGGGGGGGGAGGGGGAAGGAGCACGGCGGGCCTGAGCCAGCCCCCACATGGGGTAGGGGAGGGAGCAGCATCCAGCCCCACTCCAGTTCCAGCTCTGCCCTGGCCCCAGCCCCTGGCTTCCATCCACAGCCCAGCCACAGCTCTGCACCCAGCCCTGGTTCTGGCTCCACCCCCAGCTTTGGTCCGTGGCCACAGCCCCACTCCCGGCCCTGGCCCTGGCCCTGCCCCCAGTCTCGTCCCTCTTACCTCTGTCTGTGTCCCCCCAACCCTTCAGGACCCTGAGAAGTTTGGGGACCACTACTTTAGTATTGCAAGTCATGCTGTTGTTCATATTCTGCAAGCATATCACAGTGAAAACATATAGCACTCCTGTTTGTACTACAGGAAGTATTTTGTCCTAGTTCTACGGGGATTTTTGTCTCCCTAATCATTCCTTTATAGCATTCCACATTCAGAGGTCAGTAAATCATCTTCAGCTATATACTAGTCACCATTCAGAGCTAATCAGGCTAGAAATACCTTTTTCTTGGAGTAATGTAAGTATTTGCTAGATAAGTTTTCTGGAGCTCAGCACATGCCTAAGTCCACCTCTAGTTTGGCTATCACATAAGTATGCGCTGAATTTGAGGCACCAATTTAAGGTCCATTGAACTAAATGACTTATACCTCAAGTGAAATACATGGTTAGGTGCTGTCCTGAATGGGGATGCTTTCCTGAACTGGGGCCCAAGTATGTGTGTAAGAGAGAGAATTCAGAAGGGAAAACTTGTTTCTATACAGAGGCAGTGTGAACCAAGAGAGAGAACATTGGACTGAGAGTCAGGGGACACATTTTCCATTCCTAGCTCTGTCATCACCTTGAACCAGTCACTTTCTCTCTACCTCAGTTTCTTCATCTTTAAAATTGGGGTAATAATGCTTATTCATATTTATAACAGCACTGGAGATCTACAAGTGAAAATTTTTATTTTAGCTGATCTTCATAAAATATTCTGCTCCTTTCTAGAAGGAAAGTAAATACAAACCTCCATATAATATGTGGAATAACACTTCACTTTTCTAATAAATCTGTTCAAATACCTCTCCTTAGTACCAAATGCTATATAATATTTTGGACTTATTTATAGTTTTGAGACCAGTGAAATAGCACTAAAATTGTGGGTAGTGCTGGCTGGAAAATAGAAATAATTTTTCATGATAATTTTCATGATCAGTCTCATTTTTTTCTCTTTGAAATTTCATTTTGGCATTCTGCCTAGTTGTTCTATGTAAAAAAGTATTTGTCAGCTGTAAATTACTGTTGCACTTGCAAGTGCAGCTTTTTATGACTGTTTATTAAATGATTACTTTGTAAATTGATGACATTGCTGGAATTTAGTATGACAGCTTCAATAGGAGACAACCCTCGTTTCAGTTTAAATTTTAACAATAAAAATAGCTGGACTCTCTTAGAAACAACAAAACTTGTAATGGTCAGAATCAGACCAGTAAAACAGCTCCTATGTCAATAATATCCCAGCTGTTTTCAATTTAATAAACAAAACCTGAAAAGACTTTGGCTAGTTGCCATTGAGACAGATGGAGATCCTGGATTCTGAATGCAATTCAACAGCAGTTCTCTGCCCCCTCAATTTAGTTTATTTGGATTTGTCTCTCATATACAGAACTCTTAGAGCTAGAAACAAATCCACTGTTTTATACTTCCTCTGCTGGGACTCTTACTGTTTCCTTTGCCTGCTCATATTCATTGCAAAACTAAGGAATTATAAAAGAGGCTGGAGGCTTGGGAGCTAGCATTTTAAACACTGGAAATATTATATAATCCAAAGTGCACCAATGGCAAGTTATGGTACAAATATACCCTGTTCTTGACTTCTGAGTAATAAAAATGTTTAACTTACTGTAATTCAATAAGTTATAATGGTGAAAGGGATTACTTTTTGTAAACCCTTCCCCTGTTATAATGATAACCCCAAAATGGATTATTTTCTGTACACGCCAGCCTAAAAAGGATTAGGAAACCTGTAGCTTTAAAACATTTCCCTAGATACACTGGCTCTGGCTGCCTGTATGTGAAATAAATAAGTAACCATCAGTAAATAATACTAATAAACTGAGCATTCATAAGGAGGTTAATTTAAAAAGACATTTCTTATTTGGCCGCTGCAATATTTTTGGTCACACCATAGGGCACTGCCCAAATCTCACTGGAAACCTTAAAGGAAACAAAGTCAACAGGCTTTTCCAGGGCTTTTATTTGGTCTAATTTTCTTCTGTTATTTATATAATGACCTCTTCCTATGGCACAATTAGCACTGGAAAGGAAACCTCTTGTGATTCATCTTGTGAAATGGATCTGAGTGCTTCAGGGCAGTAGGAGTCTGGCAGTCCTGAGCTTTGCTTAAGATTTTTAGCACAATTTCTTCTCTTTTTTTTTGGATCTTTACACGTCTTGTTGTGTAGCACAATGCAAATAGCAAGCAATGTTCATGATGATTATTATATACAGGAATGACACCAGCAGCCTCTCTCTGGCTCTTTTTTCTTATTTTAAAACAAAACAAAGCAGGTACTCTGTTGAGCAGCAACTATCAGTGTTTGCTGGAAAATCCAAATTAGAGAGGGAGGACAGTAAACAATTGCACATTGAAATAGTACGTTGTAAATCCTAAATCAAGGTCTTCAAGAGTGACAAGTGATTTTACGTGCTTCAGTTTCTGGGTGTCCAATTTTTGAGACACTACAAAGGGGCCTATTTTTGAGAAAACGGGTGTTCAGTGTTTTATGAAACTCAGGCCCCTTTAAGGTGTTTCAAGATGAATATCCAAAATCACCAGTCACTCTTGACTGTTTTGTCCCTAGTACTATAGATTAGATCCAGTACCAAGGTCCAGACCACTTGTGGTTAATGCATAGACTGGAACACTCATTAATGAAGACTGACCTTGGGAGGTTAACATTTACAGTGTCTTGACCAAATTCCTATTTGGAGCATTTAGCCTACATCCAGTTCCTCCTGCAGTTTCTTGTGGGTATGATATTCTTCTTCACTTCCTGCCATAAACTGTGGTGTAGCATTGCTGTTTGATATTAAACAGCTGCCATGTTTCACCCGAGATGTGTGGCTATTTTCTAATGTTGGATGACGTGATTCCAGTTTGGATCCTGAATACCAGTATATTTGTAAAGTAAACATCAGCTAGAAGCAATAATAGTTAGAAAGTGTTGCAGTGACAGATTAATTAATATTTTATAACTTTGCCACACCTTGAGCATGTCCTTGCAACAAAGCCCATTGCCAACTGTGCCCACATATCTATTCAGGGGACACCATCACAGGGCCTAATAACATCAGCCACACTATCAGAGGCTCGTTCACCTGCACATCCACCAATGTGATATATGCCATCATGTGCCAGCAATGCCCCTCTGCCATTTACATTGGTCAAACTGGACAGTCTCTACGTAAAAGAATAAATGGACACAAATCAGATGTCAAGAATTATTCATAAACCAGTCGGAGAACACTTCAATCTCTCTGGTCACGCAATCACAGACATGAAGGTCGCTATCTTACAACAAAAAAACTTCAAATCCAGACTCCAGCGAGAAACTGCTGAATTGGAATTCATTTGCAAATTGGATACTATTAATTTAGGCTTAAATAGAGACTGGGAGTGGCTAAGTCATTATGCAAGGTAGCCTATTTCCCCTTGTTTCCCCCCCCCTCCCCCAGATGTTCTGGTTAAACTTGGATTTAAACTTGGAGAGTGGTCAGTTTGGATGAGCTGTTGCCAGCAGGAGAGTGAGTTTGTGTGTTCCCCCGGGGGTGGGGGGGTGAGAGAGCCTGGATTTGTGCTGGAAATGGCCCACCTTGATTACCATGCACATTGTAGGGAGAGTGGTCACTTTGGATGAGCTATTACCAGCAGGAGAGTGAGTTTGTGTGTGTATGGGGGTGGGGGGTGAGAAAACCTGGATTTGTGCTGGAAATGGCCTGCCTTGATTATCATGCACATTGTAGGGAGAGTGGTCACTTTGGATAAGCTATTACCAGCAGGAGAGTGAGTTTGTGTGTGTGGTTTTTGGAGGGGGGTGAGGGGGTGAGAGAACCTGGATTTGTGCAGGAAATGGCCCACCTTGATTATCATACACATTGTGAAGAGAGTGGTCACTTTGGATGGGCTATCACCAGCAGGAGAGTGAGTTTGTGTGGGGGGGGCGGAGGGTGAGAAAACCTGGATTTGTGCTGGAAATGGCCCAACTTGATGATCACTTTAGATAAACTATTACCAGCAGGACAGTGGGGTGGGAGGAGGTATTGTTTCATGGTCTCTGTGTGTATATAAAGTCTTCTGTAGTTTCCACGGTATGTATCCGATGAAGTGAGCTGTAGCTCACGAAAGCTCATGCTCAAATAAATTGGTTAGTCTCTAAGGTGCCACAAGTACTCCTTTTCTTCTTGAGCATGTTGTGGCACAAAAAATATATCCTATGTTATGCGGATCTGGAATATTATCTCTGGAGCTAAGGCTGTAAGTTTCCCTGATAGAAAGTATTATACTAGTCATCAGGCCTTGGTGATGCTTGTGCCTCAGACCTTTGAAAAATGAGATGTAAGTTTTGGGGATTTTTTCCAATGAAGAAGAGGAAAGAGTTCATTTTATAGACTGGTTTTCTTCTGGAAAAGGTCAGGTCAGAGGAATGCAGGTTATTTTAGGGGTCATATACAACTGAGCCAGGCCTCCAATAATCAACTCTATATTTTTTAAAGCTCTGCATTTGACCATATTCTGCCCGCTAGTGCATTTTGTTAAGAGGTGAGTGAGGAATTTTTGAAAACCAGTGCCACAATCTACAAACTCAAACTAACCTTCTTCCCATATGCTCACAAAGCCCATGATTTACTGCAGCAACTGTGTAACATACTAAGTGCTCTCAGAATTGTTACAAAGACAGAAAAATGAATGTTAACACTCATTTTATGTTCTGATCTTGATCTGTTACTTCCATGTGTTGTACTTTTGGTGCTAAAATGCTTAGTTTAAGTCTCTGGTTCCATTGTTGATCACTAGAGATGCAAAGCAGAGCTCTCAATGGGACTAGTGTAGAGCCCTGCAGCAGGACAGGGATCCCGCAGATCCTGCAGGACCCGCTGCCATATTAGCGGGAGCGGAATTAAAATATAGTCCTGTGCAGGGCTCTGATGCAAAGCAGTAGTTCTGCCAGCCAGTCATTTTATATGACCCAAGGTTACTGTTCTCGGCTACACTGCATAATCTGATGGTGGGCAGGCTTTGCCAAGGTAGCTGTTCTTGGCATTGCTCTTAAAGTGGTCTATCTGGCCCCACCCTTTGGGTCGGTTACAAAGGCCTTGTCTTCACTACCTTAAAAAAGGTGTGTTTTTAATTCAGTCTTTAACTTGTGTGAAAACAAACTTCCTTGTCTTCACTAGGATTTTAACTCAGGTTAAGAACATGCCTTTTTTAGTGAAGACAAGGCCACAACTGACTCAAACATTATCTGTTTTTTCCTGGCTGGAGCCCATGTTTCTTTACCCCTGTGTCCCCCACCGCTGCATAGGAAGATATTGTGTAGTGCATGGGAAGAACTGTAGGCCCTCATTAAGGTCTTGACCTCCCTGAGGGAAGGCTGGAGCTCCCTGTAGGTTGTGGCTTCATTTAGCCATAGGCTAAATGTGATAATATCACAATCAGTGATTGTAACAGCAGCCATCAATCAGGCATCTATCCATTATCCCATAGCTGGGTCAGGAGTCATTGAAATTAGCCAGGGGAATCGCCTTCTAGACTTTATAAGGAGTCTCCTCCCAGGTTAGTATTTAGTGAATACCACTGGTCGTGCTTGGATCAAGCCCTGTGAACTTTATAAATGCATCCCCCCCTTTGATGGAGTGGAAAGTTTCTGGAATATTTTTATTAATCCTGTGTGCCTCTGTTTCCCTCTCTAATTCGCATTGTGAAAAAAAAAGTTTGATACCTGCTAAAAGAGTGCAGGAGGCAGGAGGTATGGGTGTCACCTGGCTGCCTGGGGGCTGGCTCATTAAAGAGCTGTCTCAAATGTAACCCAAATCAACATAGCATCCAGCAAGAGATACCTCTGAAACATCAACACCTGACAGCAGCACACCCCAGCAGGCAAGACTTGTGAACTGAGCTGGAGAACCTGGTGTCAGGTGACCGGAAGGAGGACATCCCTTTTTGGAGGGACTAAGGAGCCCAAACCTGGGAAGACAAAAGAGGGATGGGGGGGTGGGAGCCAGAGGAGGAGTCCATTACAGCTTGGCTGGCTCATCATGGTACTGGCTTGGCATGTACTGTAGTGTAATTTCTGCCTCTCTGTGCTAACCTAAGCACTATAAGATTCTGTGTGCCAGGTGACTAATAAAATGTTACCTTGCTTTGAAAAGGCTGCCTGTGTCACTGTAAGTACTCCCTGAGAGCATTGGCCCTGAGGGATACAGTACCAGCCTCCTGCAGGACTCTGGCTTGGCTGGATTCACTGCAGAGAGGCATGGAGACAGACAGGGATTGTTGGTGCCGAAGGCCCAGTCTTGGAGGCCACAGGCCTGCCCCTGTTGGAACTGTGTGTGTCCTTCGGGCCCGGCCCACTAAGGGGTCACTCCAGAGAGACTGATTGCAGGCTGGGGTATAGACCGGACTCTGTGACAGCCTGCATGTAGTTTGAGCACTTTTTCCCGTTGGTTAAATGTTAAGCATAACATTTTATTCAGCCAAATCTCACCTCTCTGAAACTGGAACTCCATAAGGCTTTAGGGAGGACCTTGGAGCACACTTATTCTCTCACAAGAACATTTTCCTTGCTGCATATCAGAGAAACTGGGCTTATCTTTTTAACACTAATGATCTTTTAACTAGTATTGTTGTCTTCACTTTTAATTGATTGTAATGCATTAACAGAACAAAGGATCAATCTGAGATTCATTTATTGGATTCATTTTATGGACCTAACAAATTACCATAAGCTGGCAGTTAATAAATGCAAACGTTTATAAAAGTTTGAAAGAGAGCTATTAGCTAAAGCTGAGAAGAGAAATGGGGCTGTTCCATTATAACAAGTTTCCTTACAAACACCTTAGATAGATTCCTGGAAAAGCTGACATGGAATTAAACGAATCTCATTAAAAACTTTTTTTTATTTAACTTTTTACATCCGCAGGATCCTCCAGAATCACCTCACAATCCTGCAAAAAGAGCGTTCTCCCTTATTTTGCATTTTCTCTATAAACTTTTGTTTCTTTCTTTGCAGGATGATGGCCTTCCAGAGAATGAGCATCAGCTTTCAGTAGCTGGGAAGATAAAAAAGCATTTCAACACAGGGCCTAAACCCAACAGCACAGCAGCTGGAGTTTCTGTCATAACAGTAAGCATCTGAAGTACACAGCTATAACATTTTAAAAAGTGCCCACAGAACAGTCTATATTCAGAAGATAACAGCAAAAGACAGCAAGGGCTCGCAACTTACTGTGAAGTGTTGCCCATGTCGTTGAAATTAATGTAACCATTTCAGATGCAGTTATGCATGAGGATTGCATACCACACTACACACAATTTGCAAGCTGCATCCCTCCAAGCAGCGATTAAATCGGGTAGAGATTTAGTTGTGCTGCATGCTATAGTTACAATCTAGATATTGTCTGAAAGTAATGGAGCTTGTGAGACTGTCTCAACCAAGTCCAGCTAAATTTTATAGGCACATGCAGTACAGTATACAAATTTGTATTTTTCCTCCAAGATGAACATGTGTATGTATCTCTCTCTCACTCACACACACGCACATGCACAGAAGATATTCAGAATTTTATTAGATTATTTATGCAAGTACCATTAAACAGTAACTATCTGTTTTATCCACATTCACATCCTTTACTTATTTTTAATACATCGGCCTGTGTTTTAAAGCTTTTTTTTTTTATTACTCATGGTAATGTTAATTCTCCAGATAAAGTCACCAAACAATCAGTGACACATTGAACATAACCATTCCCATATCAGATTACTCAGTGTTTGTTCCCAGCTTCCATAAATTGCAGATGGTGTGACTGCACATGTACACTGTCTCATACTGTTTCCACTTTCATGTTCCTCAGCTCGGCCCCTCCAATGGTGAGTTAAATCAGCATGAAATAAACTCAGCTCAACAGGCACAATCTGGCTTGCAGGTGTGAACTGTTTGTGCAGCAAAATGGATAAGATTACTTATCAGAAGTTACTAAGTATTTAACATTTCAAGGTGTGCCTCTCTCACTTTTTTTTTTTTTTAAAATAAAAACTACCTCAACACGGAAACAAATTTCCCTCATGCTTTTCTTAGATTTTCAATTATCAGCTAACATACAGTCAGCATTTTTTATTTTCATTTTCAAGCAATAATACCACAGTAACTCTCCCATAAGTAAAACATCACATACCTGCATTTCATATGAGCAATGGGTACAGAGTGTGTTCTGAACAGCCTAGTTCAAACTGTGTTCTTTTTCAAATGGACTGCCAGCACGCTTGTCCATAAGAAGTACTGCTCAGGTCCTCTTTTCAAGGCTTTCAAAGCTTAAAAGATAGAAACGATGCTTTCCCTACCCCCTTCCATCGCTTGCCTCTTTTAATTTTTAAAATATTTTTATTTGTCCCAGTTGGTCTGGAAATGGATTGTTGACAGCAATTTGATATTTTAGTAATGAAAAAGGCATTGGTGAAGTGAATCTTTCCACTGACAAACATTATAGAAATAAATAAAACAAAAGCAAAAAAACTCACTGAATTTGGTAATGTGTTAGAATTTAAAAAAGTACATTTAAGAGAGCATCCTTCTGAGTGGATACCACACCTTGGTGTGGTTAATTCTGGAGTTCTGCCTCTAAACTAGCAGTATTTTAAAAATATTGTTATAAAATCCAGAAAGTGGCTTAATTAACTAACATCTTTCAGTAACTTTCCTAAAATTGGGGCACTACACACATCTGTAGTGCATGTGTAAATTTTAAGGCAGACTGGCAAGTGCTGATTTAAATATCAAAAAACTTTTATATACCATGCATAACACCCATCTTAATAAACAGAATAAATAAAACCAAAAGCAAAACCTTTAACCACTGTGCCTGCATTTAAAAACTAATGTAATACAAGTTTGGCATGGGATTGTCATTAACATTTTACTTTCGGGAATCTCCTTTTTTACTTCTACAATGCCAGATAATATTGATATAAAGCTTATTAACTAAGGCTGTTCCAAATTTATAATTTACAAAGCATATGCTCCCCAAATGCTGGAACATATTGTTCGGCACTAAAAATGTACAATAAGTATATCTTAGCACTTTTAAAAAAAATCTGTTTATGGTGCCGATATATGTATATACTGTAAATTATGTAAAGGGATAGCTAAAATACGGTATTTAGTTCTCAATTCAACTTCACAGTGATATTCTTTATTATACATATGCCCTTAGGGTAAAATTCACCACTGTATGGGGGTCCCACACAGGGCTCTGTGTATCAAACCTTTAATGTGGAGCTTAAATTAATAAGGATTTGTGCAGGTCCGCCGGGCTGGGGGGAATTGCACCCCAGTTTGTTTATGTTATTAGGTCAGAGTCATCTGGAAGTGTATTTTATTTATTTGTATAAAACACTTTTAGTAAGCTGTTGATTTCTTCAGTAATATCCAAATATATTGTACTGACCCTTTTTGCTGAGGCATACATTTGCTTTGGTTACAATCCCCAGTAAAAGTAGTATCTGTTCATCCAGGTTCCAATCCTACAAACACTCACGCATATTCTTAAACTTTACTACTGTCATAAAGTTAATCATGTGCATAAGTATTTGCAGGATTAGAGCCCTAAAGCAGATATGACCAAAATATTTAATTTTGAAGTTCCATGACTGCATTTTTCTTATATATAAATCTAACATTTCACTAAAAAAATGTAAAATGCATGTTTAATAGCAAGCATTTATTAAATAATCTGTTTAAAGTTTAGCACTAGAATTTTTGTTGAATTCTCCAAGGATGTCGTCACACTCTTTCCTTTGAATATTTTAAATTAATGACTTGACTGCTTAGTTATAATGTCTCCAGCCACTAAAGAAGAGAGCTGGTAATTATTTCTCAAATAAAACCAGATGTTTTGAAAGAGGTTTTTTTAAAAAACAACAACAACAATACTCTATGTCAGTACCCTATGGGTTTGTAATTATACTCTTTCTGTCTGGAATAATCAAGAGGAAATAAAAATCAATTTTAAAAAATGCTTTAATATTCAAAGATGTATTGCAATACATTCTATTAACTGAGCATAGTTCAATTTATGTTCATGTCTGGAATGTTAAAGCTTTGCTTGTATGTTGTCACTTTTGTGCTTGTTTTTTGGCATTATTAAGACAGAAGAAAAGACTAATGATAACATTATGTTAAGGTTGTGTGAGGTCCCTGACTTGGCTACGGGAGTAAATCCCAGCTTGAGGCTCACGGGAACCATGTAGCATAAAGAAAGAAAAAAGCTGTTCTGACAGCTGATGGTCTGCCAATGTGTCTAGAGATGGTAACCAATTCCTCTGTCTGCAGCGTTCTGCCTGTCGCAGACAGCCTCTGTCATTTGTGGAAACCAAATTGGTGCTGCTTTATCATGGGGTGGGAGAAGGACGGAGTGAGGTATTTAAAATACATTCTAGTGATTATAAAATAAAATTAAAAGTGACATTTTAACAGTGGGCTTTTCTTAAAATGTGGAGGAGAGAAAAAAGCTTTAGTCTATTATTTTTGCTCAGTTTGAGGAAGAACAAATGACTTAAATTTCTATCTGTTGTTGTTCTATAATTATTATTTATAACCTGTTTTTCTTAGCCTGTAGTCTCCATGGTAACTAAAATATTGTTTGACTTCTGCTTAGATAGTTGTAACATTTTAAAATTCAAAGAATAAATCCCCTCCTAAAACAATCGTAACATCATCCTGTTAGTTATAATATTTTAGTGCAATACTTTTAATTTCAATTTGTAAAAAACCTTGTCTTTTGTGTACTTGAGATGCAGTATAATCGGCTGCCAGCAGATGGCAATAGTAGATCAATCTACTGAAACTCAATGAAAAATGAAGTATGGGTGCAAGGTCCGCATCTTTTGAACAGGAAGTGGCCTTTAAATAATTCTAAATAAGATGAAACATGCATTGATTTAAGAAAACAGAATAAATTATTAAATATTTCTCTTTATGTCTGTATTGAAAGTGTAAGTAAAATTTAAAGTTAGATGCTAACTACAGTTTAAATAACTGATACCTAGAGACATGTTAACCGGCCTTTCTCAATCTAGAATTAGTAACTATCATGAGTATTGCACCAGTATGCCACAGTCTTAAGGAAACACACAATGTTCTTTCCTTTTGTAGAGCAAAATGTGAAAGTTATCAAATTATTCAGATTAAACTGGGCAGAGTGTCTCTCCAGTTTGACCCCCTCTAAAATTGTATCTAATCCTCTGTTAAAGGCTATCCCAAATACATGTTAGTGCAGTGTAAAAGGGTTAGAGAAAATAAAACACTTTCTTTTTCTATGCACATTCCACTGCTAATGATAACCTCAATTTAGAACAATATGTACAATTTAAAGTTATATTTTTAAGCACACACTTTACCCTTTTTTTTTTACACAATACTAAGTTAATTTTCCATTTTGACTTTAATTGCTGCAATTTAATGAATATTTTACATCACAGCTTTCTACCATTATCTTTTTAAGCCTGAGATGTAAGGTGAAATGACAAACAGTGCAATGTTCATGAACCTGAGAAGTCCTGCTCTCCAAGGCTAACATTTAAAAAAAAAAAACAGAATTACCATAATTGATGGGATATCAAAACCGGATTCTTTTAATCTTTACACATGCCATGATTATGAAGTAGTCTAATTTAAGCCTGATGTGGTCTGTGTAGCCTGCTTGTTGTGATGGCTAACACTGTGTTTTTTAAAAAATATTAAACCTCTGTTTAATTGCAAAAGATATTTTTTCATTACCATTATGTGCAACTTAAAGGGGCACTTCTATATTTGGAGATACCAGGATATTTGTTAGACTTTTAAATGAATGCATTATGCATTAAGTTACTTATTTCACAAACTCCATTTCAGTTTAAATAAAATGGCTTCTAATATAACAAGATAGAAGCTAGGGCTACTTTCTTTTCTTTTTTTTTTCTTTTTTTATTCTTTTTCTTACTTTTTGTCTCCAGTGCATAGATTCAGGATGTTAGATAAGTGCCTTGTGAAACTGAAAACAGTCAATATGCACTAAATAAGGAACAGCTTGGTCTGGAGTCTTAATTCTTTAGCATAATATCGATCCACTGAGTTGCCCCATTTCTCTCTGCTCAGCTGGACCACGGGTTTACCATCAAGAGATCAGGGTCTTTGGACTACTACCAACAACCAGGAATGTATTGGATAAGGTATGAGATGGTGCAGCTCCAACAGTCAGTGTTTCCATGGCAACGTGCTGGCAGTCTCCATTAACCAGTTCCTTCAGTGGATAAACATGCTTTTTGATTTGTTATCCAGTCCATATGCTGCTTTATCAGTTTCATTTTAATCTTGATTGAGATGCCACACCCCGTCATTCCCTTTTTTTCACCCATTATTCACACTGACATTGCCAGCTTTCTCTTCATTGCACATGCTCAGTATCAATTTTCCTTATAGTTAAAAGGACAGTGTATATAGAAAATCTACCAGATATGCTGCAGCAATTGCCTCCCCCCCCACCCCCTGCCCCATATTGCTGGTTAAGGGATCTGCTTCCTGTGCACTTCTGTTTTTAAACACCTGGAACAGCAACAAGATCTCAGCATATATTTTTTTCTCTTCTATATGAGATGTGGAACTATATACTGTCATTTTTAACCCATCAAACACAATCCTTACCTTAGATTGAACAATGCATTTACCTAACATAGTACTTAGAAGCTCTCCCAAGTTTACTGAAATATAATGCATTGTATGTGCTGGTAAGCTTGTGTTTTCTAATTATGCACATTTATGTATGTTCTCTTTTTATTTTTAAAACCCCTTGTTAACAATATTGCATGAATCAGTTTTTAATATTTTCCTACATTGCGTAACTGTGTCAGGGTTGTTATTAGTTGACTTGACCTGTGTGATCAAATGGGACTTTGGCTGGGGTGGTTGTTTTCGAGTGGGTGAAAAGAGGGATTCTGCTGATTGCTAATGTCAGGCCCATACCTCCTCAATCAGTCAGGTGTCCCTGGTATTTTCATCAAGTGTTTATTTGCTGGCTCTTATCCCCTTATTGCTTACAGGGTTTGATTTGTGATATCTGGGAAGATAAAATGAGTCCCAACTGAATATTTTTGCTAACACCTGCGGTTGTTCAAGCCCAGAGAAATGCTTTTCATTGTGGGAGGCAGGGGAAGGCCTGTTCTGTGTATGGAACAATTCTTCATTAAATTAACTTCATTAGCAAAATGGTAATGTTTACAGTAATGTAGAAATCTGCCCCTCATGTCACTGATTGGATGGATCAGACTACAGCACAGTTTCCACAAAAGTTAGCAGTCCTCCGAACACACCAAAAATATGCCTATGAAAATTCAGTAGATTTTTAAATGGTCATGAAGGAGAAAAATAGCTCTTCCTCCTTGATGTACCCTTCAGATGAGAAGCAAAAAGTTAGTCCAGGTACACCATATAGATGCTGGTTATGATGACTAACTGAGAAATAGTTTCCATAAAAGTGCTCAAATTTGTACTGGTTTATGTAGTAGCACCTTACTAATTCATATTTTGTGATTGGGAGACTTACTGAAATTTCCATAAATCACTTTATTTATGTACTTTATTCATCTATTTTGGGAGACTTACTGAAATTTCCATAAATCACTTTATTTATGTACTCTATTCATCTATTTTCTCAATTGACATAATGTTTCAGAGTATCCTAGTAAATAAAATGATGTGTATTTTGTAAAAGTAATATCCTAGTGAGACCTCACTTTGGCATCTGCACTTTTTCTTTATTGAGAAATGGAGGGAGTCACTGGTATGTTCTGTGGATTATAAGTGGGAGGTTTAGCAAAGTTTAAGCTAGAGAAGTCTTATCATAACTTTTTCATTTTGCTCATTGAGGAAAGTTTATATTTTGAATCAAATAGAACTTTGTCAAAGAGCTAAAATGTTTCGTTCTGAATAGCACCATTATCTATGATGTGCCTGCATGGCTATTTTACTTATGCTATTTTTTTCTTTTATACAAAGACAGAATCATTGTGTTTCTATTTGTCATGTAGGTCTCTATTTAAATAAAAATGTCTCCAGCATCAGAGAGCGCAAACCTCTAGAGAGAGGAATTTGTGAGAAAATAGTGAAATGTTTCTAATCTGACTGGCCTTGACTCAGTTTAACTATGTAGCCCAGGTTTTAAAACAAACTGTACATCTGGGGGCTTGGGGAAAACTCCAATCCAGCAAATAGGTAAATAAATAAACAATATAAAAAGGCCATTTGACTAAAATGCTAGTAATGGCTTCCATCAGCATACAAAGTGACATATCCTTGAATAATGGGCTGGAGCAGACGGGTGATAATCTCTCTTATTCATACATAAACTGCTGTTTTCCAGCTGGGGGCAGTAACAATGTTTATAATTAGTGCTGTTCTAAACAGTGCACTCAGTGTGTAAAACCAAATTGGGAAAGTGGTGCTAAAAACTCATAGACGTATGTGCTTAATTAGGAAATGTTATAATACCTGAGAGTCCCAGAATCAACACTATTACATACACATTATCTGCACTGATTGCAAATGCTTTGTCTTTCATCTCCATAGAAACAGGAGCATTCAAATAACCACTGTAGTGACCAACATTTTAAGAAAGTAGTAAAACTATTTTCACTTAGTACTTGTTATACTATTCATAGAACTTTGCAAATTCTCAACGATAATACATACAGGGTTCATCCCTTCACTCTTGTACAACAGTTCATTTGCCACAGGCCTTGAAAACTCATCTGTGATCGCAAATATGGCCAATATATAAAGAAGAATCCAAAGAGAGATTTAATGCTCATGCGTTCTTTCATAATTGAGCTCTTGATTGCTTCGCTTAACCACTGATCCTTTTCTTATTTGATCCTCTAGTTTCTCTTATTCTTCTCCAAAAATGACAATGTTTCCACTTTCAATGAACCAGAAAACCATTTCCTTACTGTAGTCTAAATGTGTCCCTCCCTAATGTGCTCAAGATTCCTAATTCTGCTTTTGAATGCTAACTTTGCCCCCTCAAAGTGCTATTTTTCCTCTGTTGCCACAAAGAGCACCTGCAGTATTTTAAATGTAGTGACTTTGTTTCCTGAAAGTATTTCCACATTGAGATGTAGTACACTTAAAAATCTTTTCCTGAAGTAACAATTGCAGCATATTGTGCATAATAACTGGAAAAGGTATTACACAGTGTTTTGTGTATACAAATAACAGAAAATAATATGATAAACTAGTTCAGTAAAAGAAGCCTAAATAAAAATGTTAGATCATGTAAATTGTTTAAGCCCCAAATGTGATATAAGTTTTAAAAGCTGCATATATTATTGTAGGATATGTACTCCCAATGACACACTCTTTTCTCTGCAATTATAGATGAGCACTCTGGCAGAGGAGATCTGTGAACACCTACAGTGCTCTGTATGCAGAGATGTTGTTTTATAGCAGCACTCTGTGCTCTTCAATGAGCTTCTTTTTTAAAAAGCCAAAAATAAAATGTGCTTTTATTGCACGTTCTCAACTACTGGATGTTCATTGACAGAAACAAACAAACAAACCTGGCTCGTTTCTTGCCCTCTTATAAGAATCTCTATTTAGGGTTTATTTAATTGAGGATCTTAACAACCTGAGAGTGTTTGGTGAGTTTGCTGATCTTCAAGGATTTAATCAGAATATTAAGAGGGAATGGTGTCATTGGGTCTAAGTGTTGCAATGTGCGGTGTATAGGTATGTAAGATCACCTATATTACTTGAACCCCTTGACAGAAGCCCATTTTGACTTCAGTACTTTGCATAATTTAGCAAGAGAAGGTCAGTTGAATTTTCTTATTCTTGCAGCTTTATGTCTGAATCTATATATTTTTTAACCTATTGTTGAGAGTGTTGTTTGAATCTTGTGGCATTTGAGAGTTGAAATCAGAATATTAAGAATACCCTAGCATAGGTGTACCTAGAGTAACTTCGTTTTTATATCTTCTTTGTGATATGTCTACTGACATTCTATAAACTCCAGGGGAGCTAATATGATATCAAGAAAAGGTGTGGGAAGGTCATTAAAATATTTATCATGTAATGACAGAGGCAACTGCATTGGGCTTATCCATTGATTTGTAATGAAATTGTAGCATCCTAACAACCCTGAATTCATGTAATCATTGACTTTTAAAAATATGATGCTCACAGTAGCTGCGTTTTTTTCAAGCTGAATAACTCATTTCAAATTCCAAAATCCCACTCTGTTCATAGTGTTCCTGATTCCTCATTGCATCTTAGTACAGTCATCTACACCTGTCCAAACTGCTACAGAGTCAAAATACTGTATTTATATGTTATACACCCTTTGTACCGATGTAAGTGACTGCACAAGGGGCAAGCTGGTGGGCAATCACACTTTATCTGTAAAATTTACTTTATTCAAAGAATGAAGCCCTTCTGTAAATTTGACCCTGGTGAAAATAGACAAACATCTCAAGTCATTTAAAATCTCTCTGCCGCTCTGTGACTAAGAAAACCGCAACTGATTTACAAATTATAAATAAAATTGCACCCATGCAAACAGCTTTGAACTAAGTTTCATACACATGTAATTTAAACCAGCTGAGAAGTCATATCCCTAAGAACAGAGATGTTAAATAATAAACATAAACTGAAATACAGAATTGTGAATCCAGTGGTCATACATGTACTATACTTGTCTTTTTTTATATATGTACCAGTGTAGTATGAAGCATAAATGAAACTGTTTTTTTTTGGGTGGGAGGGTATGGGAGAGGTTGTGTATATACCTGAGAAGCCTATGAAGAAACATGTGCAAGACCTCTTGTCCTAACACTGTAGAGCTGCTACTATTACCGCATTAGTGGTCATTTTTACCATTAATAAAATCTACTGTAACACATCACAACGTATTGAGGTCACCAACCAGAACCTTATACAAATAGAACAAATTACCCAGCTGGAAACATCTAAACAGATCTTTTAAAAATAATAAAACAGGAGGAAAATGTCAATATTTCAATAGTTATGTCAATTTAATTCCATGTGCTAACAAAGGATCTCCAAAATGGCAAGCAAATTGCAAATATTTCCCTGCAGATGGACAGTGAGAGAAGGAAAGGGTTTCTTAGACTAACATGTGAACAGCTGCATCTCCAGTTCAGTCTCCTAGCTAGTATGAATAATGGATGGACTAAGAGGCAAAATGCACAATAATGTTCTTTTATTAATGAAATGAATAATTTTTTTTGGAGGCTAAAAATAAATTAAGAGAAGAGAAAAGAAAAGAAAAACAGTCACTGTTCACATTCATAAAATACAATTACTTAAATCCAGTAATTACTGACTGACAGAAAATATGACCTAACAGCTAAAATGGATTCTTCCCATTGCAAATCCAGCACATATTTCAAAGCAGACGTAGTAGTGAGCACCTATCCAGATGCACCGCATTCAATATTTGTCATGGAGAAAAACCTGTGTGAGATTCGGGAGTGCTGCAATATTACCAGTTAGAAATCAGGAAAAAGATATCACACATGATAAGATCTTGGAGAAATGGTAAATGCCCCACATTAGTATGGCAGGAACAATGACTATAAAATGTCTCTGTTGCTTCCAAATACATAATTTTTATTCACAAAAATAGCTTGTTGACCATATGGTACTGGGTATCAGGAGTACTAAATGTTGATACAAAATACATTAGTGCTTAGCAAAGGATGCTTCAGGCCCATCAGCACCAAACTGTTGAAGGCAATCCACTTACCTGCTATTGGATAAGTAGCTTTATATTTCCTCAGGTGGATTGTAAGAGGACAGCTACATATCTTATGTAAATAAGCTATAGTTTAATTTGGTTACCACCAATATAGTCTGGTCCTCAAAGTTCTCACCCTCTCACCTCAAGCTGAGAAGAAATGCTAAAATATGGTAATGAAAATCTGGGATTTGCAGCCCTGTGAGGCATAAGTGTACTTCAGATCCTCTTATTATTTATTGAAAGAATAGCTTAAAGTAGAAATGCCCTGAAAATCCATAATGGACCAGTTCATGCACCAGTGAACCTTCCAGCTGAATAGCAGATGAAATAATAAATCTATTAAAGCATACTATATTGGCTGAGCATCCAGGCAATGTATTTAAGAGGTCTTCGCTACAAAACAGGTTGCCGATTTTTGTCACAAATTAACCATTTTTTAGAATATGCCCCTAGGTGACACAAGGTACAGTAAGTAAACCATGCATTCTTTTATTTCTACAGTGTACACAACCATTTCCTCACATTCCACAGAATTATCTGTTGCATGCTGAACTTCTTCAGAGGAGAGAGATAATTGTGGCTTCATAAATAAAACATAATTTTTAACAGTCAGAGTAATTAAACATTAGAAAAAAATTACCAAGGTTTATAGTGGATTCTCCATTACTGACCATTTTTAAATGAAGATTGGATGTTTTTCTAAGAGATATGCTCTAGGAATTATTTGTGGGGAGTTCTATGGCTTGTGTTGCTCAGGTCAGAGTAGATGATCACAATGGTCCTTTCTGGGCTTGGAATCTATGAATATGAATCTATACATTGAATGAAAATTAAAATGTGCTCAGAATGCATTTTAATGAGATTATTTGTGCAGTTATAGAAACCATAAGTTCGAAGTACGTGATCCACACGCAGGGCAGCATTGGCCCAGTCCTGCAACTTCAGTGGGAGTTGGGAATGCTCAGTACCTCTCAAGATTGAACCTATTGAGAGAAGCAGAAACAGTTCATGCTATAATTACAACATGTGAAAGGCTGTAGAGTGAAACATATTATGTTGTATTTTCTCATCAACTGTATATTGATAAGGATTCCTCCTACTTGTCTCTTTCTCACCTTATACATTTCTCTAATGAGTCTTCTGGGTGGGTAAAAAGATTCTTGGTGTCTCTCCAACAGGGAGTGAAAATACATAATGCCACAAAGCTACAGACAAGCCCTGATAGATTAGAAGCAATGAGATTAAATTCAAGGGTGAATTTGGACTGAATATCAGGAAAAACTTTCCAACAGTGAAATGTTATATTGGACACAGATGCTAAAAATGTGGTCTAGGGAATTAATCCTACATTAGGAGGGGGTTGGACTATGTGACATAATAGCCTTTTTTACATCTTTAAATGTTTTATCCTTTGAAACTAAAAGCACCAGTTAATGTATTTGTGTATTTTAAATAAAATGGCCCCCAAAGGTCCCTTAACAATGACAGCAGAGTAGGCTGTTGGATTTTCCATTATACACCAAGATGACTTTAAACACAATAAATGTCATGATGCTTAGTTATCTGACGGGCAGAACATTTTAGGTGGTTTATAATTTGGTCCTTTTTAAAAAAGACAATAACATTGGATTAGACTTCAAAATAAACTAGTGTGTTTTATTCAAGAGTATCTATTACTTCAGGATTAACTGCAGGGTGACATGTTGTGGTATAACCTTTAAATAAACTCCTATATCCCAAAAGCACAAAAATGTCTTGTAAATGGAAATCTGTATGTCATAGAATGATCATATATGCCATTCTTTTCAATTTTCATGGAGAATTATATACGGTATGCAGTATATTCACTGTGTGTAAATGATCAAGATATTCATCTAATCATGAAAACATAATCATAAATCCAGTTGGTTTAAGGCTAAGAAATGTCCAAGATACTGAAAAATACTAATTAAATTTCATAAATAAAAGATTAGTAGTAAACAAATAAATCTTCAGCAGACAATAAGTGTTGTATTTTGTAACAATTATTGTTTAAAGTTAAGGATGAACTTATCAAAGTTAACTACAGCTCACTTCATCGGAAGTGAGCTGTAGCTCACGAAAGCTTATGCTCAAATAAATTGGTTAGTTTCTAAGGTGCCCCCAGTACTCCTGTTCTTTTTGCAAATACTGACTAACACGGCTGCTACTCTGAAACTTATCCAAGTTAATTATTTTTACCTCTTTGTGTAATAGCGCTCTATAGGTTCTTGATATAAAAATAGTTCAGCAATTCAGCCTAACTAAATCCATTTGCTGTAGTAGCTCTGTGCTCTGTCCATCTTTCTGTCTTTATTACATCATTTTTGAACTTTGATTGCATTATTTGAGCATGGATTGCTATAATGCTATTCTGCACCACCGTGATGGATTTAGTTTTCATTTTGTTCTCAAAAATAGTCTAGCTATAAATGTATCTCTGTTCTCTGATGAGGCTCACAGTATAACTGGTAAATTTTCAAGAGGAAAAACGGTCATGTATCTCCCAAGAGAAAACAATAAACCCTTTGAAGCAGAATAACCTCTTGGCCGCATTCATTTACAGGGTGACACATATGCTAGGGAAAAACTTTCTAATATGTCAGACTTAAAATTTAAATCCATTCCGTTTCTACATATATTCCATAGTTATCTTTGCCTCTTCACTAGAGATCAGATATTTATGTACATTTTAAGGGCTTTCTCATTAACAGTCCTTCTTTTCCATTTTGCCCTTGCAGTGGAGTCATGGACCCTGATTTAGGAAAGCATCCCCCTTTAGGAAAGCAGTTTAGTGTGTGTTGAAGTGCTTTCCTGAATCAAAACCGTAATGCTGAATTTGTAACATCACAGTAATTTCAGTGGCTACAGAAGAATATCCTATATTCAAGATTATGGGTGAAATCTTGGCTTCATTGGAGTCAGTGGCAAAACTTCCATTGATTTCACTGCAAGACCAAGCCAAATGAGAAACTTGTCTATGAATGATATCAGTCTCATTACAGCAGAAATCTCGACCAGTAGCAGGAAATATGTTGAGGGAGGGAGGGAGGATTTGGCCAAGTAAATTCAGACACCTTTAGAAAAAATAGTCATTTTGTATAAAATTAGCGTGGACTTCACTTAGTTTGGGTTTAGTCGATAATATTTTTAGGCAAGGTGATCAGATTGAATGCAGTCTTCAAAAAGAGCTCACCAGTGTTCTTCCCAACAGCAGAGCCTCAAATGGTTTAGCATGAGGAGGTTTTAAAGAGCTGAGTTAGCTTCTTTGTTACCTTTCTTTCTTAGCTGACAACTTCATCACAATCCATCCTTGTTAGACAATCTCACAGATTTGAACATGAGTGAATGTGTATCAACCTTCATTAGGTCAAATGGAACAGACAATCCTATATCTATACCTTGCCTGTAGGAAAAGATTTATACTTTGAGAAGGAAGGGGGAAGGTCAGCTGGTATTTGGCTTGAAATCTGAATTTATTACTCTGTGAAATTAATAGCATCCAGAAGTTGAACATATGGCATCCATATATATGGTACTATATATGCTTGATGTCATGTTGCTGCTTAAGTTTTGGGAAATGCACTTTTTTAAAAGTTTAGCTATGTTGTGGGCTAAACCTTTCAAAACTGACTGAAACAGAACAGGTTTAATTTGGCCTGAACATTTATTATCCCTGGTATTTGCAGGCCCACATACAAATGCATGTTTTTCATTAGCTTTGCATTTCTCACACAGCCTAATTTCATTTATTCTCATTTTATGCCCCTGCCAGACCACCGCTCTTGATAAGGAGAGGCAGGTTTTCCGACGAAGACGCAACCAGGATGTGAGGGGACGATATAAGGCTCAGCAAGCTCCACCTGAACTCAACTCTGAATCGGAAGACTATTCACCAAGTTCATCTGAGACTGTTCGCTCACCTAACTCACCCTTTTAATAAAACACTTTTGCTCAAAGTCTTGGCTTAACCCTTTGAGATTCTGAAAATCCTTCAAACCTGTGTGAAACAGTTACATCTGATCTATCTAGCACTAATGCTCGAATGATGGAACAGAAAAGGGTGTTTACAGTATCTTTGTAATAATAATTTCTTAACTGACTGGAATGATACTTGTGCTCTGTCTAGATTGTGACTTGCTGCTAATATGATCCTCAAAGGGTTAAGACTATTTTGCATTTTTTTAAGATAAGAGCAATGAATGTTTTCATCAGTCATGCTAGGACCTGCAGTTTGTAATTTTAGCACATGTTAACCCTCTGAGTGCATAATAATCTTTAGCCTTGATGGCCCACAGTAGGGCTTTATTGTGATGAAGTTTATAGCACATATCTTTTCCCCCCATCTCCTTAGTTCTTTCCCAAGTGTTCTGGCCAAAACAATATCCAAATGCTACTCTATTTGAGTGATTGCAAATCGGGGCTTTTTAAAAACCTTGTTTTAGAACAGTGTATTCTAAGCTTCTATGATATTCTACCACAGGCGGCTGACCATTACTGGTAGGTACCATACAGGATAAATGGAAAATCGGTGGTAGGACCTCCTCATAACAATCTACCTGAGGTGATACCATAAAAAATTGTTGCTTCCATATTATTGGCTGCTAGTGGCTGTCGTGTAGTAGTGGCAGAGTCATGAGAGGTGGGTGAATGGCACATTCTACCATGCTTTGGTATGTAAAGATCTAATTCTAAAACTTTTCCCTGCCACACACACAAGGATGTACAGATAGGGGAGAGCTATTAGTTTCTCTATAGCTTTTGGATTTTGAAGAGGGAATACTCCTCTCAACACAATCATGTTTTTTCATAGATACACTGTGATTACTACCAGGAGAGAGTCTTTTATGGGAGAGAAAGGAAAAATCCAGCATTAAAGGAAAGAGAATTACCCTTACAATAGTGACATTATTTATAAATTGGGGAAAATACCTGGCATGTTAACATTTAAGAAAAGCCTTTGGGTGAAATCCTGCTGTCCTCATTGACATCAATGAGAATTTTGTCTTAGAGCGGAAAAACTAAAAACTATTCATCTAGCAGATCTGTGCTATTATATACGGGGGAGGGGTGTGTGTGAAAAACACATGTACAGGGTGTTAAACCTCAAGTCAGTGTGTTAGCATTTCATTTCATCCGTGTACAAAGAAAAGCCAATTTCACAGAGAAGTTATACTTCACAAACTTTTGCTTCAAATAGGATCATTTGCGTGAAAACAGTCCCATATTCACACAAACGTGGCACTAGTTGAGTGAAAAATGACACATTTCCAAAATTTGATTTTCCAAATTATAAATAAATATAAGACCCGAGCAGAAAATATTAACTTTGATGTTTCACGTGTTGGTTTTACATTTTGGGGCTGTGCTCACAGAACTCCCAATGAAAACCATGGCAATTCTGAAAGTGAGGGTCTTGTCGGATCCATCCTACTATTGATTTGCATTCCTAAAGTACCAATCCCTGGAGCCAGGTGCCATCTTTTCCTGAAATCTCAAAAGACTCACTGAAGGGCATGTGTGTAAACAGATTAGGTCAATTCCCTTCTCTTCTCCACTCTCTTTAGAATGTGCCCATCTCTCGTTGTGTCCAGTATAAGTATTATATCAAACATTTAACACATTTTGAACCAAGGGAACCTCATTTCATGAGTTTTCATTCAAGTGATGGAAAACATTGATTAGAGTTCTTTGGTTTCAATCTATCCATCTGATCCCTGATGTCTCTACATAGCCCCATTGACTTTAGTGGGATGCTGCACAGAAGTGTAAGGGTCTCAATCAGATTACAGGATTGAGGCCTTTATTGGCAACGGAAGCATTCCTTTAACCAGAGGAACACTGGTTAAAGTATAAAATTAGTTGTGCCCCAAGGAGAGAAACTCAGTAGGTTTCTGGGGAACTCCATAGGGGTAATGGGATAAGTAGCTACAGCACAACTAAACTTCAGAGTTTGGAGTGTGCTTCCTGGCTATTGTGCCCCCCCTGTCAAGGTTGGGGGGGAGGGCAAAAGAGCTATATAGTGGCAGATCATCTGACCATGCACAGTTACCCCTAAAGAGACTGCACAAAGAGACTTCATGGTAGGTATGGAGTCATCTTGGTGTCACCCCATTCGGTAGCAGTACCAGTTCAATTGTATTACATGCGTGTCCTCTACTCTAGTGGAAGAGTGGGTAGGACTTGGGCCACAGTGAATCAATATTCAGGGTGTACTTTTACACAGGGCTAGACCTGTAGCTGGTGTAACTCAGTGTAGCTCCATTGAAGTCAATGCCGATTTACAGCAACTAATATAATCCCTCACCTTACAATACAGCCTTCTCTTTAGAACAGATGCAACTTGATGCAACTATAAAGATATTTATTTATATGGCAATCAAAAGTGTCCATTAATAACACATGCTCTTTGACTATCGGCAAAACGTTGGCAGTTTCAAAGGAACAAGGACAATGTTCGTTCTTCTTAATTAAATAGAATAGGGGAAAAAACAAGTATAAAGCAAATGCTTCGTCTCATGAATGTGTAGTGTCAGTTGAAATCCATTTGAGATCTTCCTCTCACCTTTGCTTTTGTTTTAGACTCCAGGGCTATCATTAAAATAAGATGTTTGGCTCCATCGTACACCATATTGTACCACTTAAAACCTGTATAAAAATAACCCAAGCCCCTGAAATTTCCACTCATCCCTTGCAAATTTCTGATCTTTGGCTCACATTTTACTGACATAGCTCCTATAACATTTTACAGTTACATTCTTTAGGCCCCTTAGAGAATGTGCACCAAATTGTTGAATGGGGCCTTTTCATGGTTTCCAGAAAAACTATTGGAATAGTTTAACAGTTTTAAAAGAGAGGGTATCCGGATTATAAAATTAAGGTTTCAAATAGTTACTGGTTGATGCTTGTTTGCCAAAGAAATACAAGGCCAAATTTTGCCTCTATTTACACCTTTGTAACCCCACTAATTTCCTGGGTGTAACTGAGTCCAGAAGGTGTGACCCTTAGAATATCTAAACTTTCGTCAAGGAAACTGAACAGATTACGGCTAATGGACAGTTTCTAATATGAATTCAATTAAAAATCTAATATGAGAGCATATAGCATAGCAGGTTTCAGAGTAGTAGCCGTGTTAGTCTGTATCCGCACAAAGAAAAGAAAAAGAAATTTATTAGTCTCTAAGGTGCCACTGGTACTCCTTTTCTTATAGCACAGCAGTCATTTTCCTGTAAACCATCCAGTGTCTTCACTTTACACATTATATTGGTGCTAAACATTAAAATACAACAAAAAAGAAAATATGCATTGTATTTACAGTCTGTAAATGCACCACTTCATTATTTTTTATGCATGTTGCTAACTGACTCTGTCTTCTGGTGCATTTACCTGCAGTAAACTAACTTCATGGTAAATGCAATACTCATATGTGATGGTGCCCTTCAAATCTTTGTGCACTTTGAGTATTGTGCTGAATACATTTAGAATGTGTTTATCATGTGAAAATGGAAATCAGCAACCCCATTAGATATAATCTTATTAGCATTTATCTACAAAAAGATCCAGGATATTATAGTTGTACTCAGAGGGTTAACAGAAAAGCACAAGGCATGCTGATTACATTGGTGTATCCAAACTGCTTTGCATTTTTAGCCAGTGTTTGCTAATTTTTCAGAAAATTCTTGGAAAATTTAAAGTTTAAAATAATTTAAGTGTTGTTGTTCAAGGAATTTCTATAACCAAATTAATCTTATTTTTAGTTTAACTTGTCACAGGAATAATATGTATCATTAATGCAGTGTAAGTCTGTAGTTATACATTTTATTAATTTCACAAGTGATTCCAGAATTTCTTTTTAAGTACTTAATATAGAGCTTACAATGGTGGCATAGGTGACTGAGACTGTCTTTCTTTTTGGTAAACAAACAATATTGTAATTTCAAGAGAGTCCTAAGAACCAGCTTTTCAGTTTGGTAGTGTACTAGTTAGGGAAAAGCGATCTCATTACATGCATTGTGTAAATCTTTGTAGATGAGAACTGTTCATATGAATGAACACACTTTTTTTCTTGACATTGTAGCAGAAACTGTTTACTTGTTGATGATCAACCAATACATTAATTTGCTCAGACTGTTAAAGGGAAAAGTGAGACTCCAGTCATTGAAAATGTTATTGCTTTACATCTAATTTAAATGTGGTGCATACTACAATAAGCAAAGCCAAACCTGTGAATAAACTACTCAAAAAGCTTGGTGGTTCTGTATAAAGTGGAGTGCTTACATATAATAGTGTGTAGCACTGAGAAGGCTTGTCAGGTACCGTTGAAACTGATAGATATATATGAGCTAAATTGCAATCCTTTACCCTCTGAGGCATATTTCATTTATTTATTTATTTTTAAAGGAAAATTGGTTCAGGGGGTTGCAATGCCACAGGTCAAGTACATTAAATCACTGTTATTTGCTGCCCCATGGTACACATTAGCAAATGGCATCCCCTATTTAGTTTAGATTGTGGGCAGGGAGAGGTTTCCTAATGTTATTGTAGTGCCCTCTAGCACTGTCATGGATCAGGCTGTGTTAGTATTTCCATTCTAAACTCCTAATCTCAAAGGTTTTTAGTTGGATCGTAAAAATATGCTTCAGACGGATATGTGGCACATGATTCCTCATCCCAGAGTGATTCTCCTCCTAAAATATGAGGGAAATCAGCTTGGCCCTTTTGACATTTATATCCTAGAAGTATGTACAAAAAATGGGGATCTTGCTTCAGACCATTTTTGTGTGGGTAATTCAAAAATGGCTTGGTTTTAACACAAGTTTTACAGGTTTGGACTATAACATTGATAGTTCAAAACTTTTGGGTGCTTTGAAAACCAGTAAGAAAACTCAGTTTTTGAGAGAGAGGCTATTCCTGCAATTTTATTGCAACAAAAAACTAACAGGTATTTCAAGTTCACATGGTAATACTGTGTATTCTCCCTGCTGTCTGCTGATGGAATCGTACAGTTAAAGGCCAGAAGGGACCACCAGTTCATCTAGTCTGACTTCCTGCATACCACAGGCAACCACCAACACCCAGCACCCACACATTAAACCCAACAACCAAATTAGAGTACAGTATTACAGCCCAGAGGGTACTCAACTATTACATGCCACAGGCAGAGAATGGGAGGAACTGAGGTGCACCAGAGGTTTCTGCAATAGCAGGAATTAAATGTAATTTTCATTACTAATAGTATGAGTTACTCAATGCATCAAATGCTGAATGTGGTTTCTGTAGAATTTCTGTGGAGCATATGAACTCATACAACTTGCTTCTCCTCTCACATTTAGGACTTGCTCCATGGAAGAAAATGGAATTACACCAATGTAAAACAGGTGTAAGCAGAAGAATTGGGCCCATTGTCACTTAAATGACAAACTTATCATAGGAAGATCAGGACTGGATCCTCAGGAGCTCAGAATTGTGGAGGCTATCAGAAGACTGTTTTAAAATATTGAATATGCACACTATGATTTGCAATAAATCCATGTACTACAGGTAACCTCACTGCTCAGGCATTAATCTGAAACAAATTTGCATTTGCCAAGGAGTGCAGTTAATCTCTGTCTCTACTCTCTCTCACACACACATGCGTTCTTTTGGATCCCAAAACACAGCTGTCTCCCATATTAGCTATAAGCGAACTCCTGTAGCTATTAGCAATAGTGTTAGAGATGGGCTAGTGTGGAAAATAGGTATTAAAAATTCCATAATGCACATTTTTAAAAAATTCCCAATTCTAGTCCATACAGCTCCATTTGGGAAAACAAAATTTCCAAAAGGACCTTTTATGCACTCATTTTTATAAATCTGTATTTATACTTGAACAGCCTATGTTATAGTATATTTGGATTGCCATGCCAGATCAGAGGTTCATCCAGTCCTGTACTTTCTCTCTGACGATGGTCAGGACCAGATGCGTCAGTGGCAGGAACGAGAAACACACTAATGGACCATTGTGGAATGATCTATCCACAGTGGAGAAGTCTTCCTAACTCTGGTTAGTGATTGACTTATCATAGAACTGGAAGGGACCTCGAGACGTCATCTAGTCCAGTCCCCTGCACTCAAGACAGGACTAAGTATTAGCTATACCATCCCCGACAGGTGTTTGTCCAACCTGCTCTTAAAAATCCCCAATGATGGAGCTTCCACAACCTTCCTATGCCCTGAAACATGAAGGTTAATCCTTTCCAAGACAGTTTATCCTAAGCTGGATTTTGGAATTAATTTGTTTAAATGCCCAACATCTTTAAAACAATGTAAGTAAGTGTTTGCACAATAATAGACTCTGGACTATTTAAAATGATTTTACAACGGACAACAGATTTAAAGATACTCTAATATATTTCCATATATGCTTCCTTTTTAAGGAAGGTGTATAACAACAGAAACTAATAGTCATACACCAATATATTCAGACGATGTTAGGATCATAAGCTTATGAAAACTCTGCATTGAGATGTGTCATATTTATGGTGCATTATAAACTATTTGCATGAATGGGCCTCAGGATTAGGCCCTGACATAATAAATTAGGAGCTAAGGGTGAAATGCCATCTTTGATTTGCCTTGTTGTGTTCCAGTTTAGCAACTGAAGTGGTCTCCTATCAAGGGACCTCAGATCAATGAAAGATTATCTGCAACACATAAACACAATGGGTTGAGTGTAGGATGAAATAGCAAGGGTCTGGTCTTTCAAAAGTGTGTGATAGATTTTAATTTTCTTTAGTAAATCCCACATGCAGAAAGAGGCAATTAAATCTCTGAATTATGGACCTGAACTTTTTGACAATTTGATATAGAGCAGGAATTTTACTTTGTAGTCTCTTTGTAATTATTTTAGGGTAGTTGTGCTTTACATTTGAGGTGAATTCAATTCTTGAAAACTTTTGATATCAGTTTTTAAAAGAAAAAAATCTGTTGATGGAATTATGCTTAAATATAGTAGGAATTCAACTGATTAATTTCCCCCAGTGAGATGTGATGCAGAGGAAGGGGAAAGTCCTGAATAATTCCCAAAGGACAATTTGCCATTTACAATGACGGCTGGTGTGTACTCTGAAAAAAAATTATTGAATTTGGTTCAAGGTTAAAGACATATCCGTTATAACTTATTTTTGATTTTATTAAGGAATTAATAATAGCCTTTTATATTCTGCCTGAAAGAAATTATTAAAGGATTAGTTGAGTGTGAAATTAAATAGCACTTTTCTCATGCATGCTAAAGAGGTGTCTGAGGAACTGGTTGCATTTAAACAAGTTTCTAAATGGTTTTGATTTTGTGCAAGAGAAAAATCCAGTGTTTCCTTTGAATATACCAAACTTAGCAAGTGCTAAGCGGTTCAGATGACAAAGGTTAATCTTTAATTTTCACACTACTAATTAAATAACTTTCAAATGATATGTATCGATGCATAAAGCTGAAACGAAGTTAAATGGCATTTTTCAAATCCCACTGTTTATGCTAATAAATGTAGGTTAATATGGGATGAGATCTGATATGTTATCTTATGAGCTAAGCTTTTATATTGTTGCTTGTTTTTATGTAAAACATTTACTTTCAAATGATAATAAAATAGTAGAAAATGATGTACCAACCATTTTACTTAATACCTTATCTGCAGTCTGAACTTGCAATGATTTCATGTTCCTCTAACAGAATGATGCTAGGAGGTATTTCAGTTGGCAATCAAACTACTAAGGAGTTATATCCAGCTGCATTCCTAGGGGATTTTGCACAAGGCTTTAAAAATTAGTCATGCAACCATGTTGTAGTTTTCCCCATCTAAACCTCTGCTCCAATGTGAGTCTTGATGAACATGATTAAAAAGTCAACTATTCAAAAAATTCCCACTTAATATATTAACTTTCCAGCACAGGAGGTTAGTTTGGATAAGCATATGGAAATCAAATATAGCCCTGGACTTAACTGCCTTTCCTCTAATGCCCTTCAACATTATACATACCAATTCTCATGAGAAGTGTGAATACTGTTTTACTGTAAAACCTTGCTAATTCCCACTAATGACTGGAAGATTCATTGTCGATGACTGAATTTTTGGGAATGAGCACGTGAACGAAGAGACACAATGAAAGACCAAAGGCCAATGCATCACAAAATGTACTTTCCTTTGTTCTGATAATTGGTTTAGTTTTAATATAATATTCAGAAAGTTATCAGTAAATGTACAGGAATGTAAATCATAAAAATGACGAGGTCTTAGAAATATGAGACCTCACGTGGGCTCTCTGATTATCTTTGCTGAAAGGTAGGGAAAGTGGTACACCAATGAAAGTGCATCAATTGTCCAGACTCTCCACTGATAGCTTCTGTTTTACAGCAAGTTTATAGAAGGATTTCATATGAGGCAGATAAAGAACTGCAAAACTGAGAAGTAGTGTTTAAGTCTTCTAATACGCAAGGTTACTTTTTCATAGAAATGGTAATTTTACAACCATGCTGTAGCAGCATACCCCTCTAATGCTGCAAGTGCCCTGTTTTTACTCCTCCTTATACAAAGAATGTGTTCTCTCTCAATATTTCTACACCTTCAAGCTCCTCTGTTGGGTCTTGCAACTAAAGATTTAGTACTAACATTATATACACTACTGTGAATGTTCTGTTCTTTCAACTGCTGTTCATTATGTTGGGGTCTTTCAAAACAGACATTATTTCCAAGTGAGATATTGAAGGAAGAAGATTGCCATACTGGAAAAAAATTACACTACCTGAGCACGGAACTATTGCAGGAACTTAGTATGTGATCATTCACATTTAAACTAGGGCTGTCTAGCGATTAAAAAAATTAATTGTGATTAATCGCACTGTTAAAGAATAATAGAATACCATTTATTTAAATATTTTTGGATGTTTTCTACATTTTCAAATATATTGATTTCAATTACCACACGGAATACAAAGTGTACAGTGCTCACTTTATATTATTATTTTTGATTACAAATATTTGCACAGTAAAAAACTAAAGAAATTTTATTTTTCAATTCACCTACTACAAATAATGTAGTGCAATCTCTTTATCATCAAAGTTGAACTTACAAATGGAGAAAAAACCTGCACTCTAAAATAAAACAATGTAACATTTTAGAGTCTGCATGTCCACTCAGTCCTACTTCTTGTTCAGCCAATTGCTCAGACAAACAAGCTTGTTTACATTTTCAGGAGATAATGCTCCCTGCTTCTTGT